TAGTGTGATTTGAAATTTTTAAAATCGTCTAAAAATTTCAGTACCTACTCGAATTTTTTTCTCGAAAGTGGGTAGAAATTGAGGGATATGTTTATTCACCAAAAATGCTTGTAATTGACCCCTGTAACTAAATATAATTTTTTTAGTATGATTTGAAATTTTTAAATTTCGTCTAAAAATTTCAGTACCTACTCGAATTTTTTTCTCGAAAGTGGGTAGGAATATAGGGGTATGCGTATTCATAAAAAATGATTGTAATTGAGCCCTGCAACCAAAAATAATTTTTTCAGAATGATTTGAAATTTTTTAATAACTTTTTAATAAAGCTTCGGTCAAGAAATGGATATTCTTGATTTTCGACTGATTTTCGACTCTAAAATCTCCCATTATATATAGAAATCGATAAGAAACAAATCGAATTGAATAGGAAACAACTTCGTCGTTCGTGTAGTTTCTCAAATATTGTTCTTAAAAGCAGTTCGAATGCTCGTGAAACGAATAGCTTTAACCGGGGAAGTTTCGTTAAACAACGAACGCGACTGTGCCCAGAGACTCTCTCATAACCAGAACTCGGGTAGTGAACTGCATCAAATTGCAAAGGGCCCCACGTGGCGAGCGTCGCGTCAGAAATAAGTCCGACGCGAGATTTCCATGGTTTATACACTGGTTGCTCGGAAGTTGCACACATCGCGTGCACGTGTCAAGCTCTGCTCCATTCGCGCGCCCGTAAACACGTCCGCGGATCTTTTGAACCGAGGCTCTCGCGTTAATACGCGCGCAGCAGACGCTTTTGCATGGGTAATGGCGAACTTTCAGACCGCGGTTGCTCGAACCGCGTTCCCCGTGCATCGAATCTCCAGACGACCGGCGAATCCTAGCAACGAGGATAACGAAATCTTTTATCGAATATTCCCGGGTCTCGATGTATTTCCCACGACGCGTGAAAAATGGCTAGAAATCCCTTTACGGGCGTGTAATATCTCTCCGAATTGAGGTTTCGAAGTTGCCGCGATTTATGATACAAGATACGACGATAAGGAACTGTATGAATTCAGTTCTCGATCTATTTTACATACGGGGCGAGTCCTCCGAAGCGACGACTTCGAATAACTCGTAAAATGTTTGTGTTTGCTGTACGCGAAAATATCTGCAACAAAAGTTGCTTTTAAAATTATGTGTTGTTGATTCTGGGAATGCTTAAACTTCGGTGTAAAAGTCGGTGTTAACGTTTTGGTGGTAATCGAACGATTTGTTGAAGCTTCTACTAATGGCCAGAGCCAATGACCCGCGGAAGAAACCATCAGATCGTGAAGCATGGTCTAACGTTTCGCGCAGCCTAAAGCAAACATCTGTAACGGGTTAAATAACATTGGGAATCACTTTCCCCTTTCTTGCTTCGACTCGCACGAGCTCGCTACATTACCTCCTTTAATTAACGTGTTTACACGAAGAAGTAATAAGAACGCCGCGAAGGAGTTGCAAAAACCAGAAAAAACCGTGTGCAGTTTTCGACTCGAAAATACGTCGCAAAGAGTCATAGCTCCAAACTCCAAATTTAATCCGTTCTAACACCAAATTTCACGATAAAACGTGAGATCAAATCTTACGAATCGGTGGATGCTAAATGTTACGTAAACTTGCGTGTTAGTTTAGCTGTAATCTAAGTCGGTCAACTTTTAAATCCAATTATTCTACGTGTCCGAAGAAATAAATTGTTGGGAGCAGAGAAGATCCTGTTACAGAACTTCTTATTAAGTCTAACAAAGAATACGAGATTGTTCGTATGTACGACTTAATAACATATTTTCACCATCAAGCGTTCGAACGAATTTAACTGTCGACAAGAATTCTTGCCACAGCCCAGTGAACACACTGCTCGAAGTAATTAAGAACCTACAGTTTCTGTCAACCTCGAGAGGATGAACTAAATATCAGCGGCGAAAGAAATACTCTTCGCCCCACTGTAGTGGTACACTTGCTTTGAAAGTATTGGACACTTCACTGAACAATAAAGTAACCCGAGTAGCTGTTCCTCAAAGAGGCATCGAGCAAATAAAGAAATTACTATAACGCTGATGGCATTAAATTTAGCACCGGACGTATCGAGGATTAGATTCGATGAAATTGCATTTGAAACAAGGACCAAATTTCCATCCGAGCCAAAAATAAAATAGACAAAAATATCCACAACATGATGAAAAATAAATTACATTGAAAAACCTGCTTGTTACTAACTTGTTGATTAATTGTACGATTCTATCTTCTACCAAAAAGTCAATTACTAGATATTATAATCCATGTATACTGAATATGATAAAATACAAATTTCTAAAGATATAAAACATTTAGAAAATGTTACCATAAAACACATTTTAATTTTAATGTTTTGAATGTGGCTTCTTCGATCAAGCGAAGAACATGTGGTGGTAGGTTGCAATAGAAATCCTAAAATGAGAAATACAGATTTGTTTATCGAATTTGCTCCGAAACGCTACGAAATATTATAATGTCTATCTAGACAAAAATCTCGCTGATCTCCGACACGTGCCATTAGAAATTAATAAGGGCAATAACGCTTGGACCAGAATCCGTTGCGTTCCGTCGTTATTCTCGTCGCGTTAACCGTTTACTATACCACACTTCGCGTTACATTTACCGTGAACTCGTTCGGTTCCCTGCTTCCGCGCAACACGTGAACGCGTCACGTGATCGGCCGTTCCAGATTCAAACGCGGAACGGTCACGTACCTCGCGGTCCGAGGAAACGGAATTCGTTGCATAGCGTGTGGGACGATATCGACGCGGGCGATCGACGTATCGACAGTGCATCCGACGATTCGATCGATATCGAGCACAACACGAACGAAACAATTGGCTCGAACGTGCGCGATCCGTCGCGCCAAAAGAAATGGAGCACGTTCGAAGCTATTAAAGGTCCCCGGTAGTTTAGAATAGCGAATGGCAGGGCCTCGAGCGATGTCACGCCGAGACCTTCACCCATGTGCGCCAAGGACGCTCGAATGAACCTAGACGCCCTGGTCGAACCGACCACGTTACTCTTGTTCCCGCGTTCACGGTACGACGAGACGCGTTATTTTAGCTGTACATTCGTATCTAATCGTGGGCTGTCTCACGTACCTTGGTATCCCGCGACGTGTGATAGTAGTAAACAAAGGCGAACATCCACGCGCATGACAGGAGCAACACGATTTTCACATTTCGCCGCATCTCTGCCGTGTTCCGTGTCACTCTCGCCCCTCGGGTTTGCGTAACGATGCACCCTTCGTCTCTGTCGCTTTCTCGTCTCACGAGTCTTCTGTCGTTCGCGGAAAACGGAACATGTACACCCGCGACCGACAGCGCACTACAACACCGTGGATCGTCACCACCAACGCGAACGTACCGGCAGCCGAAGCCATACTGTCAGGCTTCGACGAGAACGGTGGCTATGCGAACGCTCCTCGCGTCGAAGCTTCCAAAACCCTCCGCCGATCGGCGCTTTTGCCGCGGCTACGACGCCCACTGGCCGACATGGCGGCGGATTTTGAATCGCCTGAACCGGGGTTGACGAAACTTTTGTTCAAGATGCCTGTATCTAGTCTCCTCCGTGTATATTTTTTCTTTTTTTTATGAAAGTTTCGTGCCAAACTGTAAGATTGGCCCTTGCAATATCAGGGACGATTTAAAACGCAGGGTTACGTAAAATAAGAAAATTTTTGAAAATTCAAACATTAAACCACTCTGAATTTCTGAACAGGTTGCAATTAGCATTTAAAAATTAATTTTAAACTTATTACAATGTTAATTATTTGCAATTTAGATATATTCTTCGTAACATCCCCATTTAATATTGTCCTGTTTAAATTGGTCATCTGCTCCATCGAATAGAATTTGTTCACGCAGTGATGTTAATACTAATTTCAATTATTGATCGAATATTCTACGTACATAATACGTAATTAGTATAATTATTACTATAATGTTAATACATAATAAATAAAATTTTAATTCCCGCTAATAGTGGTGCATTTGATTAAAGTTGAATGCCCGCTGTATGTATAACCATTTTCACTCTTCGTCCATTTAATTTTGTCCGCGGCTGAATGTATCTTTTCCGTTATTAAATTATGCAGCCCGAAATGGCATTTGTTTTAATTAATTAATATTAACGATCGTTCTTTTTATGACTCGAACAACGAAAAAAGGTTTAGTTGGTCCAAACAGCATCCTGGTAGTTGTGTACTAAGAAGGAGCTTATATGTATGCATGATCTTCTGAAAGTAATATTTTAATACTTGTATTTGACATGACGAATATTTGGGAATATCATTCCCAATCGAGTAAGTAAAACCATCATCTGGCAATCGATGACACGAGAGTGAATGTATTTAAACGTTTTTAATGAATCGTATTTATCATTTTCGTAATTGTAATTTCATTATTCATCTCACACTATAACCAAAATACGGACTAATATCATTCGTGACATGGTAAAATATGAGCGGCACCAATATTCGGGTGACGCAGTTCCCTGTGGATTTTACGTGTCATCCATATCCGTGTGACATGGTAATCAACGTGTTAAGGATATCGAATTATCGTTACATCGATGTTCGAACCTCATAATATTACTATTTTGTAATAATTTTACACCGTCGAAATGTATTAGAAACTTGCTACTACGGAACAACTTGGAAATATCATTGAATATTATAGATAACAAATAAATTCTTAAAACAAACACAAAAAGTCACAAAATTTGAGGGGTCAAGAGGCATCAATCTGTGTGAAAAAAGATTGTTGCCAAGAGCATGATTGAACCAAGATACTGTCCAAACCGGAAGAAAGGTTCATAAAATTTTTTACTAGGAACATAGTGTTACGTGCAACGTAACGGGTGTAACCGATATTGGGTGGACCTCGATAAGTCGCCGAAATACGCCCACTTTCAAACGAAGATATGCTTCGTTCCTGATCATTTGATGCAGTCTGTGACGAACTTTCCACGGTAAAGGGTCGGCTGCAGCATCCGGCAGGAAATGTCACAGTGAAATTCGATCGAACGTTTCGAACTGTCGTTGCGATGGGTACGAGATCGCAATGGTTGCTGCTAACTTACCTGGGATTTTGCGCGGCATGGATGGACGAGAGGTGCGACGTTTTCCGCGACACTTTGGGAAACATAATTTCCGTCGATCTCATCTTCAAATGAAAAAAAAAACAAACCGAGAAGATAGAAACTCGAGCTTCTAATGTCCCCCAACGTAACTTTAATCTATTTATTTTCAGGCCCGTGTTGGAGTCCAGAGACGGAAACCTGTTCATTTCCGCCGCGAGGGACAGGAACATCACCCTTAAAATTCTGGGCAACGGTTACGTGAACGTCAACGAAATTAATTTGCTGCACGTCGCGTCCGCGGTAACGATTTTGTTCTCGATCGACGACGCAACAACGATCGATAGATCGATGGAATAATTGGTACGCTTTTAGGCGCAAAACGCGACGCATTTGATCGAGAGATGGCGAACGGGATATCTGGCGGAGGTGGAATCGAATCTGCAACGACTGACGCAGATTGTGGAAGGGCCAGAAGGGTTGCAACGAAGAATGGGCGTTTTGAAGGGACGCGGGGACACCAACGCCACGTTTCACACTGGGAACGGTCAAGCGAGTGTCTGGAAAATATTTTAAAGGCTTAGTTAGAAAAATTATTACAAGATGAGGTCGTTTCAATTATAAGTATTATGTAACAGAGTTGGACGAAAAAATTTTCGAATCGTACACGTCGTTTCTCAAGAGTACTCAAAATGCTTCGAACGAATTTATCTTGTAGTCATTTTTTTACGCTACGAGATAACTTGGGCAATCATTATAAAATTAATATTATTTCCAGTCCGACACGCAGATCAATTTCAAATTTCGTATGCTCACCAATCGAGTACGTATAGAAGCATCAATTTAACGTTAACGCTAAACGGAGTTCGCGATCGTTTATAGAAAATTTTTTAGGTGAGACGGCTGCAAAACAAAGTGGCATCGATCGAGACGAAATTGAAGGAGAACAATTGTATAAGCAACCCTTGTCAGAACGGTGGCACGTGTCAAGACCTTTACGAGGGCTACCAATGCCACTGTCCGTCCAATTGGGAGGTAAACAGCCAAGAATCGTACGCGTTAGGAATTCTCTCTGTCCCTCTCGGTAATATTTAACTATTGTAGGGTCCGAACTGCGTGATCGACGTGAACGAGTGCGTGCATTTGCTGGGTACGGACCTTGGATGCCAAAACGGTGCTACGTGTCTCAATCTTCCAGGATCATACAAGTTTAAATCTTTCTTATTCGCAGTATCGTCGTTTTATCATGCTTTAATAATTTCAACGACTTAATTTTCAATCGCCAGATGCAACTGCGCCTCGGGATGGCACGGTCTTCACTGCACGACCAAAACATCCGTTTGCAACACACAGAATTCCGACGAGCTGTGCGGCCACGGTGTCTGCGTGACCAAAACTGGGTCTCCTTTGGGCTACACGTGTATCTGCGACCAAGTAATCTACCGATCGAATTCTCAATTGCTTCTTCGATCTGTTCGCGTATTCAATCGGAAACTGTCGCTTCTTTCAGGGTTGGCAGTCGGACGGTACCGATCCATCCTGCGTTAAGGACGTGAACGAATGCGTGGGAAACCATCGACCTTGTTCCGTGAATCCTTGGGTCGACTGTCGTAACGTTCCTGGCTCCTTCTTCTGCGACTCGTGTCCCCGCGGTTACACGGGAAACGGTTACTATTGCAGCGACATCGACGAGTGTCTCGAAAATAACGGCGGTTGCAGCACGGCCCCCTCGGTGCAATGCATCAACACGATGGTAAGAAAACAATTGTTTAAGCGCCCTTCCAATGCTAAGGTGTTAGGTATTACACGCCCTTTTCCTCTATAAATGTTTCGTCGTCTAGAAAAAGGGAAACAGTCCAGCTTTTAGAAGTTCCAGTTTCCAGTTTTCGTTTATCAGGGTGCGTGGGTGCTATACATGCAACCCTTTGACACTAAATAGTGCATTTTCTCCATTCTTCCCTACGCTATGAACATCTCATAACATATCTCAATTTCTATCGCTTCACTCGCTCTACAGCAACATAAAGCAACAGCTTTTAGAATCCGACTGTAATTACGACACATCATCGATGAATTTCTGAATTCTTGTTACGAGCAGGGTTCGAGGATGTGCGGATCGTGTCCAACGGGATACCGCGGGGACGGTGTAACCTGCATTTACGTCGGTGGTTGCGCGATCAACAACGGCGGCTGTCACCCGTACGCGAAGTGCGTCGAGAATCCAGCACTTACAAGCGACTACGTGCTGTGCCGTTGTCCAGCCGGTTACTCGGGCGATGGAATCGGTCCAAATGGTTGTCAGCCGATAACTGACGTGTCCGCTGGTTCAGCCTGCGCCAGTAATCCCTGCGTCCATGGCAGGTGTGTCCCTGGATCCGTCGAGCAACCCTACGTTTGCGTGTGCGCATCCGGCTACACTGGTAAATATTTTATAGAACCGAATCACGCTCGATGGTGACGTTCGATATCTTTTTTGGGCGAATTCGTTACGAACTGGAACCGAGAAAACTAATCTGTAGTCTTAACTAATGAAAAATAGACTCCGTTCGGTTCCAGAACGAAGAAGACCCAAGAGAAAACGTCCAAGGAAATATACTTAGAATCAATATGGTGTCATTTAATCACTTTTCCTCGGTGATCCATAATGTAAAGGATTAGATAAAAATGATAGCGATCCCTGCGTATATTTCAGGACTCACGTGCAACGATACGATAAATCCATGCTTGCCGAATCCATGCCAGAACAATGGCGCCTGCACGGTGGTTAATGGCGCCGTGACTTGCAACTGTCCAGCGTCAGCTACGGGAAGCAGATGCGAGACACTGCGACAAACTTGTGGCGGTGTGTCGCGAAATTCCATGGGCAACCTGCAGTTCCCTGTCGCCGGGAACATAGTTTATCAACACGGTCTGAGCTGCGCGTGGGTGGTGATCACCAATAGCTCGCTCGTATTGAACCTCACGTTTACCCGGTTCAATCTCGAAGACTCGACCGACTGCAAGTTCGACTTCCTGCAGGTACGAAGATAACGGATGCGTTCGTAGACCGTTTCGCCCTTATCTAGACACCCGAGTTCAGTTTCGTAGATAGATTTCTGGGGCCACAGCTGCCCCCGCGCGAGGAACAGTATATCGGATGATTTGAGAAACTAGGACAGGCTGTAGCTCTTTTACAAACGGAGATAAAACGGATTGATAGAGGAGAAGTTAGATCCCCGGACGGGAACTATCTTTCGCTGATATAATTTGTGCTTTTGTAAGCGTGAAAGTATTTCCTTTCGTGCAACAAATCTTTGAGGATGCAATGGGTTTCAGATACACGATGGGAGAAACGCTGGTAGCCAAATAATTGGCAGATTCTGTGGAAACAAGTTGCCCAACGGGAACGGAACCATCATATCCACCCACAATACTCTGTACTTATGGTTCCATTCGGACAGCAGCGTATCTCACGACGGATTCGCGTTACATTGGAACAGCATCCAACCTGTCTGCGGAGGTACGCTGACGGACGATTACGGCACGATAAGTTCACCAGGCTCGCCGGGAAGGTACCCACCCAACAGAGATTGTTTTTGGAGGATCAACGTTAATCCGACGAAGAGAATACAATTCCACTTTGGCCAGATAATGCTGGAGGAGCATCCGACGTGCCAGAGCGACTATCTGGAGGTAAAGGATCGAAACGTGGTCCATAATCCTTAGTATTTGGTAACTTTTCGCTACTAAACGTGTTTTCGTGCAGAACAGAAAAGTATTTGTCCGATGTTTACACAGATCTTCGGCGAACTAGAGGAGCGATTAGGTCTCTACTGCAACCATACGCGTCCACCGCCTCTCATCGCGCCCGGCTCGGAAGCTACGATTTATTTTCATTCCGACAGCGCTGGCCAAGATTCCGGTTTCCAAATTCACTACTCCACCGTCGAAGGTAAGGTCTTCGAATTGGACGCGTTGTGAACTTCTGACGCTTTAAAACTTAATTAACACAAAGTGTATAGTGTCTGGAAATTACGAGTTAACAAACTCAGACGCATAAAGATGAGAAGAATCTATCGACACGTTTCGTTTACCAAGACAATTGCTCTAATAGAAAAATTGTTCTCTCAGGAATACCGGGTTGCAGCGGAGTATACACCGCTCCTACTGGCACGATCAGCCTGCCCACGCACATGTCCACGTATCGTGAGAACATGGAGTGCGACTGGAGGATACAAATGCCACACGGTGAACGAATACAGATCACTTGGTCCAAGTTCGAACTCGAGGATTCGACTTTGTGCGAATTCGACTACGTCAAGGTATCCTCCGTCACAAGAAATTATAAAGAACGATACGAGAAAAATTCGTCTTTTCTGATGATTTCTTAATTTTCGACGTACACCAAATCGAAGAACAATTACGATTATTGCTTTGTTCAGATATTCGATGGCCCGACCAGCGACTCCCCGTTGCTCGGACGATTCTGCGGCACGACGATACCTCCCACGATCAGATCGACTTCGAACGTGTTGCTGGTGATTTTTAAGTCCGATTGGATGCTAGGAATGGGTGGTTTCACATTCGCCTACAACATTATCTGCGGCGGGGTGTTCACCGAGAGCTCCGGGAGTTTCCACTCGCCGATGTACCCGAACTCGTACCACCATTCCAGAATCTGTACGTACGAGATCCAGCAACCGGCCGGGATGAGGATCGCCCTGAGCGTCACGGACCTGGACATCGAGGGCTTCAATCCGCCGGAATGTTTCTACGATTCTCTGGAGATCTTCGACGGCGACAACGAGAACAACACTAACCTCGCGACTCTTTGCGGCAGCGAGGAGACACCCGAAGATCCCTATTATTCCACCCACAACTTTATGTTCTTGAAATTCAGCACAGACGGCAGCGTCTCCGGACGCGGCTTCATGGCGAATTACACTACGATCCCAACTAGTATGTACATGTCGAATAATCACAATTACACCACGAGTAACCGAGTTCTTCCGCCTACCATAAGGAGCATAACCGAACCAATAATCACAAGCTTCGTATAGATCGTTATTTACTGCTAAGAGTATAGGATGATATTAAAAAACAAACATTATAGTTATCTTTATCACAGTCAAAGGTAGCATAAGAAACTTTTTCAGTAATGTCTTCCCGTTTGGCAATGAAGAAAAGAATAGATTGACTCGGTTTTCCAACAGTTCGTAAAAACAATGTTTGCATGGAATTTCTTAGCAATATGTTTGCATCTAGCAGTTTCGAACAATTACAATATCGAGCAGAAAAATGCGCAAGTAAAGTAAGAATAAATACGTATCCAATTCAGTGGTTAACCTGTTTCGAAGCAAACGTTCAAGTTATTTCGACGTAGTCTAAACTAGCGATTAATTATTGGTTACGATTCTCAGGATGCGGAGGATTGCTCAAAGCTCCGGTTGGGACGATTCAGACGCCAGCCGACGATGAAAAGTATTCGAACTATGATTCGTGCATCTGGACGATACAAGCACCGCAGGGATACGTAGTGCAAATCACGTGGTTAACGTTCGACTTGGAATACCACATTCAATGCATGAACGACTATGTGAAAATATATGAATATCACACGATATCCGACGCGGATCTGCTAGGCACGTACGTATGAATTCTTTTAACGGAAACGTAACCATTCTCAATTTACACCCTTCGTGTCACTGTTCCGTCGAAACTTGCAGCTTCTGTGGCACCAAGAAACCACCGATAATGACGTCGCAAGGCAACAGCATGACCGTCCAGTTCGAATCCGATGCATCCGTAACCCGTCAGGGATTCGTTGCTTCGTATTTCTTCATCGACGCTTCGAAAGTCTGCGGCGGTCACTTCCTTAGGTTAAACGGGATGATCAAGTCGCCGAATTATCCCGAATCGTATCCGAACAAACGGGAATGCACGTGGGTGATCGAAGCCCCGAACAAACGGAAAGTGATCCTGAACGTTAAGGATTTCGAACTGGAGTCTCACAGTCAGTGCGCGTTAGACTATTTGGAGATCAGGTAAGATCGCTGTGGCGACTGTGAACGATTCGATACGATAATCGTATGGTCGATTCTCTATGTAGAAACGGTGGCTACGATACGTCGCCGTTGATAGGGAGATTCTGCGGCACCGACATCCCTTCGCAAATCATCAGTCAAACCAATCAAATGTTTATGAAGTTCGAGTCCGACATATCGAAAGTGTACAAGGGATTCAGTATCGAATGGGACAGCACCACGTCAGGTGAGCGAATCGAAACAATTATTAAACGTAACCATTAGCAAACGTTGTCTACTTTGGACGGTTCCAGGCTGCGGCGGAACTATGCTAGCCGCCATCGGCGACATCATATCACCGAATTACCCGCAACAGTACACGTCGAACTCGGATTGCACTTGGAAGATCCACGTGGCGTTGGGCAGTTCTGTACGATTGATAATAGTGGACCTCGATCTCGAGTTTTACGGCAATTGTAGATTCGACTTCATAGAAATATCCGAGGGAGAGCAGCGAAAGAACAAGCAGAAATTCTGTGGCCATCCGTACCCCAAGGTCATTTCCACCTACTCCAATGTAATGACCATTCGGTTCCGCAGTGACTTCTCGATGTCCGAGCGCGGTTTCCATCTGAAGTACGAAACACGTGAGTCCGATTCTCTTCTTATTTTGCCGCCCGATAAGTAGAAAATTTCGAACAGAATTCTATCGTAAGAGGCTTCCTTTCCGAAGAAAATCGTATTTGAAGATTTATCGGTCGCGGACGCGACGGAGTAGGTCTTGAATATCGACGCGAGTAGAAACGGTGAATAATAGACAGACGCGGGAGACAAATGGTATTCGATCTCGCTCGTGTCCGATGAAATGATCAAATTCATTCGTCTCGTGGCAACAAATTTTATTCAAACTTTTCTATTAACTAGAGTACCGTGTACGTGTTTTCGCAGTTTGTCAGCAGACGCTTACCGGTTACTACGGTGTGATCGAGTCGCCAAATTTCCCGAACAAGTACGAGCGCAACTTGAACTGCAGTTGGAAGATAGACGCGCCTCGCGGCAACCGCCTAAACTTGACCTTCTCGCATTTCGATCTCGAGAACACAAGCGACTGCCGATACGATTACTTGGAGGTGAAGGAGGGGGAGTACGACGTCCCGAAAACCGAAATCGCCAAACTGTGCAACTCGGGCAGCCTTCCGGCAAGGATTCACTCCACGGAGCATCAGGTGTTCATCAAGTTCGTCACCGATGCTCAGTGGGAGGGCAACGGTTTCCGGTTGGAATGGACGGTGGATGGCTGCGGAGGACACCTGACCAGACCTTCCGGGCAGATCACGTCGCCAGGGTATCCGTCAGGCTACCCGATAGACGTCGATTGCAGATGGCTGATCGAAGCTGATTACATGCACAGCGTGGAGTTGACTATTCACGACGTGAGTACATGGAAACGTTCTTTTTGGGGGGAACCAATGATTTTACTCCACTCGACAAGTGGATAGATAAGCTCATCACGTGTAAGTGCAGTCCCGTAACATGTGGGACTGGATTCTACACACGAAAACAACGTTAAAGAATTGTACAAGGCTTCCATGAAATTTGAACAATTCTTGGACAAATGGAAAGAGTAACGATGTGTTACGATGTGTTAAAGAGAAACTCGTCATAACTCGAGAACAAGGTCGCATAGGACGTACGTTTACATGAACTTTTTTTATTTCACGTGTAGAATCTAGTCCTGAAGTGGGTTCCACATGCAACGAAGCACCCCATATTTGTCGCTTGTAGGACAATGAATATAATAAGTATCGTACCCTTTATGCTCCTTTCGTCGGAGGAAGCTCGGATCAAAACTGACGTTTCTGTTTTCAGATCAATACCGAGAAGTTGAGGGGTTGCTTCTTCGACAAGCTTGCAATCTACAACGGCGAGGACGCGACTGGCCTGAAATTGGTCGAGATCTGTTACTCGGAGAACCCCGTGGTGTTCACCAGCACCGGGAACAAGATGTTCTTGGAATTCCATTCCGACGTGTCTTATGCTGCCCGCGGTTTCAATCTCACCTACAGGAGTGTCCCGATCGTTTGTGGCGGTCTCTTCACCGCCGATTCGGGGATCATACACTCGACCAACTACCCGCAGAATTATCCCAACAATCAGCTCTGCGAATGGTTGATACGGGTGGACAATAGTTACGTCGTGAACGTCACCTTCCACGAATTCGATATCGAGAAAACCGCCAATTGTACGGACGATTATGTAAAGGTAAAGAACAAATCACGCGGAATATTTTGTCAGTGAAATATCTTGGTACGATTGCCTGCCATCGACTCGTCCATTAAAGAATTATTTTACAGACGGAAATAAATCTGTTCGCAGATATACGATGGCCCGACGCAGGACTCGCCGTTAATGGCGACCCTCTGTCGAAACATTATACCGTCTCCCTTCGTTTCTACCGCGAACGAAATGCTGATCGTAATGAAGACAGATGGATTATTAGCAGCGAAAGGGTTCAAGGCGGAGTACGCCAGAGCATGTGGCGCTCGATTGATCGTGAAGGATCAAGGATTCCTGACTCCAGCCAGAAGTTTCACCGGCAATTACGAAATAGTGGACAACTGGAACTGCACGTGGACGTTGATCGCCGAGGATCCAGGTAAAACAAATATTGCTTCATGTTACTCTTGTCGTTTGGAGCAACTCGAAGACCAAGACTATTGAATTTCTGTTACGACAGAGGATCACGTCACTGTGTCTTTCACGCATCTGGAAATCACCATGAATGAAGTGGATGCCAATGACTGCTCGTTGTCCTATATAGAGGTACACGAAGGCACTGGCATGGATGGTCCCTCTCGAGGAAAATGGTGTAATAGCGTTGTACCGTTGCCGATAACGAGCACCGGGAATGCACTCACGGTGCATTTATACGTAACGGGCTACGATCACCACGGACACTTCGCCCTCACGTACTCGGTTCTAAATTCAGGTAAACGACTCGTTTCTGCCCCTTTCTATCCTATTTCGTTTGCGACAACCGTCGAAGAGTCTCGTTGAATGTTCGCGGTATTCAAGACGTCTCGTTGAGGGACGCGTTAGACATTTCTACGCCCTTCGACAAAGTTCCTTAACGATGTTTCGAAAAAGAGAAACTGTAAACAACTTGTAATCGAAGAGCTTCCCAGGGGAAAAAGCCAGAAATAATGAATGGAAGCGACTGGAATTCAGATATCGGACTCTTATCGAGCAAATTGATTAATAATCAACAATGACTGCGTTTCAGCGTGCGGGGGGACCTATGCATCGTATCACGGAGTGATCGCTTCGCCAGGATATCCGAACTCTTACCCGTTGAACGCCGAGTGCGTTTGGATCCTGGACAACTCGCCCGGGAACCAGTTGACCCTGACGTTCAACGAATTCGAGCTCCAGCAAGGCGAGAACTGCGATCTGGATTACCTGGAGATACGCGAGGACAGCGGGATAGGGAAGTTGGTGAACGTGTTGTGCGGGACCGACGCGAAAACTGTCAGATCCTCGACCAAGCTGTGGATCAAGTTCAAGAGCGACGGCGAAACGGTGGCGAAGGGCTTCGTGGCCGAGTATACTTTCCAGGGCGGAGGCGAACTTTCTGGACCCACTGGACGTATCACGTCCCCCCTCTACCCGATACCCTACAAACGAACCGACACCACAACCTGGCGAATCACGGTCGAGTTCCAATGGGCGATTCGCATCGAGATCAGCGATCTGTTCATAGAAAACTCTGGCCCCGATTGCTTCAATTATCTGAGGGTAAGCAGAATGCAATTTTCGTCCGTTTCGTAGATTATTAACCCGAGGTATCTAATCGATCAGATCTACGACGGTTATAACAACGAAGCGCCAGTTTTACTGGAGGCCTGCAAGTTCAACAAAGGCGAACCCGTCACGACCATCGGCAACGTGGCTTTCATCGAACTGACCACCGACGTACTTCGATTGGGCAGCTGGTTCGATCTCACGTGGTTGCAAGTGCCGAAGACTGAAAATATCCTGAACACCGAAGTCAAACGTAGGCACTACTCTGTCGAACAATTAAACGCGAAGCAAAATCAAATATTTCCCTGTCTCGTACCCCATAAAGTTGATCTTACGATATTAGAGTACGCGGAGGGTGTAAAAAGAGGCATCGATTTTATTTTATCTTCAAACTATGGAGACCGATAATACCAAAATTGATGTAAAATGTACCTTTCGCTAATGGAGTACCATATTTTGAATACAGTGTCGAATTGCACCAAAGAAGTAGCCCTCACGAGTCACTCTACCCCGACCTACCGGTTTACCTCGCCCGGCTGGCCCGAGGGTTACGGCGTCAATCTCGAATGCACCTGGGTGTTCACCTCTGTGCCAGGAACCCACTTGGTTCTGATAATTCTCGCCATGGATTTAGAGGAGTCCACCGAATGCGTGGCAGACGCCCTCTCGGTCTACGATGGCAATGCTTTAACGTCTACGGAGAACGCTGTCCTGCAACAACGATTATGTTTAGCGAATGCCACGTCAGTGGAGGTGAAGACTGGCAACGTGATGACGGTGAAATTCGAATCGGACGTATACATAAACAAGACTGGCTTCAGCGCTTACGTTTACTGGGGTAACATAATTTTTAAAATTCATTTACTCGCGGCGAATTCCGTTCCTCTATACCGGTAGCAATGATTGGACCACCGCTGGACACAATTACAAATTTGGTTCATTTTTGGCTCGTTCGTACGATGCATTGTTTCCCCTCGATCTTTCAATTTCTATCGGCGCATCGTCCAAGTAATTTTTTCGTACAAAAATACTGACGACCCACGCTCCGTCGATTTAGATTGCGGTGGAAAACTGGAGGGCCCGAACGGAGTGATCGAAGTCGTGAACAATACTTTTGCCAGAGGAGTGTACACTTGGCGCTTGTTGTGCGAATGGGACGTCGTAGTGAGGACCGGGCGTACGATAGAAGTGGTCGTTGAGAACATGACGACGGTGGATAATACGAAGTGCATCAGCTATTACATGGTGCTGATATTTTGCACGGAAGAACTAATTTCGCGCGGAAAACAATTATTTCATTTCGTATCGTTTGTTGTTGCAGTTGAAGAACGGCGACAAAATGTCGTCCTCTTTGCTGGGCAAGGGAAAATATTGCGCCAATGACACGCTTCCAACCTTAATGACCTCCGGTAATCGTCTTTACGTGGCGCTTACTGGCCAGTCAAGCATAAACTTCAAGCTGAGATACAGGTGACCGTACTACCCTCTCGTTATCTCTAGGAAAATTAAAAAAGAACTCACTGATCGGAGAATGTTGAAGATACGCTATCCCTTCGGTGTAAAATACTTCTGAAATATTATTTAGTATAACCTATATAATATACTCCATATAAGGGAAACTAGCGAATGAATTATACTATTATCCACTGTTCCTTCCCCACATTATCGATTTTTTTATCATTTCAGAGAAGTGGGCTTAACATGCGGCGGCGACTACGTGGCGAACAATGAGTTGGAAATTAGCACGCCTAACTATCCGAACATTCCGCCGCCGTTCACCGAGTGCAAGTGGACCTTATTGACGCCGACCAAAGAATTGATATCCCTCAACTTCATAGACAGATTCGATCTGCTTCAAACTCCAAAGTCAGTTATCCGTCTCCGATTAACTTTTCAGAGCTTAGACGATCGTATCCTTTAATCACCGAGTCGAACGTTTCACGTGACGGGGGGGAAATGTATATTTCAGTTGTGTCACCGAGTACGTGGAAGTAAAAGACGGTGGGACAGAGTATTCGAAGCTGCTGGGAAGATTTTGCGGCGACGCCTCGCCCAGCACCATACAGAGCACCGGAAATATGTTATACATTCACTATTTCTCGGATATTCCCGAACCGAAGAATGGCTTCAAAATCAAGGTCACAATCGGAAGTATGTTTCTACAAAGTTTACCTATTTTCAACCGCTTCTTCCCTCTGGTACGGAAGAGCAAATAAATTTCCAAACCTCTTGACTCTCGTTCAGATTATAGTCAAGAAACTTCATCAAGAAATTTTTCCAATTGTTAAGAGCTAATCAAATTCTATGAAAAGCGATCGAGGGATGAAATGGAGAAAAAGACAAAGAAATAATATTTTTGGTTCCGTTTCTCATTATGGATCGATCGATGTTTCTCATTTTGATCACAGACGTTTGCGGCGGAATGATACGAGGTACCAAGGGCGTCATCAATTCTCCAAATTACCCGTTCTATTATCCGACAAATCAAACGTGCGTCTGGCGGATTATCGCTCCGATAGATCACAGTTTGAAACTCGAATTTCGCGATATACATTTACCTGGCTACTTCACTTGCAAGCGTTTGGATCACGTGACGATCAGCGAGCCCAATATATCAAATGGGACAGGTAAACCAACGTTCTGAAACATATACAAGAAGAATTTTATCTTATTCCTTAATGATAATTGCCATTCTAAGTGTCTACAGATTCACGGATTTCAGAAACAACTGTTTCATATAAAATGCATGGAATTTTAGTGTTTTCGTTTTAAAAGTTACAAACGAGCCGCTAATGCTGAATTAATAAATTTCATCATTCAGAGACCGAAATCGGAACTTATTGCGGAAGCAAAAAGCCCGACATCATTGAGACATCATCGAACGAGGCTATTATCAAGCTCGTGTCCGTCGAATATAGGAACGATTATAGGATACCCGGAGGTTTCAGTATCAACTTCACGTCTAGCATAGACAGTAAGTGTAAATTTAATAGTCCCGGACTCTTAACTTTAAGAAATTAATAATTAACCCCAAGTAATGTTACCCTCCAAGTAAGGTTCGTTGCATGAGTCTGATGGAATTGTTTGTTGCAGTTTGCGGTGGCGAATTGACTGCGATGTCCGGCATAATCAAATCGAACGGATATCCCAACGTAGCAACGAGTTCCAGGTATTAAGTAAATCCTAAAAACACTAACTGTTGAATTAATCAGTCTCGATATTTCTTTTCGTATTAAATCGCACGGTGACTTTGTAGATACTGCGATTGGAGGATCCGATTACCAAGGGGTTTCCAAGTAGTGGTCAACATATTGGACATGGACGTTGGTGTGGGCAATATGCCTATACATATGAGCCTTTCGGTTATTATCGACGAGATTTCAATATCGTTCAAAATTTCGTTCCCCGTTTCTGTTTAATCCGACCGTTTCTCTTCGCGTTCCAGTTCTACAACGATTTCCGATTCAGATCGAGGATAAAAATGCTTTCGCAAAACGATACTATAAGGGAAATAAGAAGCTCCAGCAACACGATGATGATTGGTTACTCGCTGCACCCCGGGTATCGTGGATTTAAATTGCGTTACACAGCCGCGGCGCCAGCTCGTACGTATCGATTAAAACGATCATAGAAAAGCATAATTTAAATAACAACGTCGTAAATATCACAGCTTGCGGGGGAGACGTGAAGGATGTTAACGGCACTTTGCTACCTCCGTCGGTTCGACCTTTCAACGAGTCATCGTATTATTGCGTATGGAACATAGAAGCACCCAAGAGCATGGTGGCCTATGGGAACGACTTTGGACTGACACTGGCGATAAGAGTAACTGGTTTCATGGGCGGTGTGCCGAGTTTCATTCACCAACGAATATGCTACAGTTATCAATACATTTTGCTGACAGGTAAGCCTAATACGCGACAGTCTTAGATTTTGATCAACGTCATCGACTAAACAGAATATATTTTATTTTCTAGACCACGCTATGGTTTGCGGAAATTACACGGAACCGACGTACCTAACGAGCCCGAGGCACCTTAACGAGCTAATCGTAAGTCGAGTCGATTCACGGATAACTTTCGTTCGTTATTTTTCAATTTATCTCAATCCAAACAATCAACTCATCTAATATACCGACGAAGTTCGATCGTCTAACTTAGAAACACCCTACACGCTCTTCAACGTTACTCATGAACCGTTCCCCCTTTATTTGGAAGTTTATCGATCCCTTTTGCATATAAATGAATGAAGTTTGATTTAAGAAAGTTGTTTACGCGTACTCGCGAACTCCGGTTACCGTTGTTGAATAATTCTCGATTCAATGAATTTTGCAGAGCTCGGAAAAAGATTGGTACGATGCCTGATGGATATGGCGGACGTAGCAAAATTGAGAAACCGCGTTTAAAAATTTTCAGAAAATTTCTTATCGCTGTCGAGGAACATCCGTAAAGTGCTCCTCCCTCCCCTTCGCTTTAATGAAACTTCGTAGTTCCGCGGAAAGGCCAAAAATAAGGGACACTTAGTTCTTTAGCGGCAGTAACTCAAGTCTAAGGGTTGAAACTACCCTCTAAAGTGTCACCACCTAATGCTATCTTGTAAATTATTGGAGATCCAAGAAACTTTTTCGAGCAACTTTTTTATGAGTTTTGACGGGAAATAATATCAGTAAAAATATTTAAAAAAAGGGTCAAAAAATAGCTTTCGTATAAAAAGAAATTATAAGAGCTCGACCACCGAACAGTGTACACTCTTTGAGGGAGTTTCCTCGTGTTCCTATGATAAAATAAACACGATTCGTCGATTTATATTATCGTAACGATATCGCAAATTTGCAGGTCGTGAACAGCACTTACGGCAAACCGATGAAGTACGATATTCAATATCGCTGGCAGCCCTGTGGAGGTATTCTGAAGGAACCGCTCAATCTGATAATAACACCGAAGAATGTATCGTATCCAGTAAACTGTGCCTGGTACGTCATGTCGCCGGACAGTGGACAAACGATGCAACTCAGCTTCAAAAAGATGAACATGTCCTCCATTTGTACGCAGAATTACATCAGCGTCAAGTAAGAAATTATTACGTTGCGTCATAATTAAATTTTCCGAAACGTCGCGTTCAAACGATCGATTCGAGACGATTAATTCACCTTTCAGAAACGGTGGTCCCTCGTCGCCGGAAATGGGCCATTACTGCGGTAACGTGATTCCGAACAGCATAATCAGTACAACGAACAAACTATACATAGAATACTTCTCTACCGGCGAACCGAACGAGTTCGAAATAGAGGTTGGATACACGGACAACGTGTGCGGCGGCAGTCGTAGCGCCAACAACAGACAGATCTCCTCGCCAGGGTAACGAAAACCACGTAAACGCAAATTGGATCTAAGAGGTTGTTGTCTCTAACGGAAGGAATTCGCGTGTCTTCGCAGGTTCCCCAAGTCGTACAAAAATAACGAGGAGTGCACCTGGGAAATTACTGCGGATAACGGATACCACGTTGGATTGGTTTTCATTGATCGTTTCAGTTTGGAAAGTAGCGCGGATTGTAAGAACGATTACGTGCAGGTGCGTAAGAAATTTGCGTTAGTTGGCGGAAAACTGACTTTGGACACGCGGGGCTCTTTTCACGTGAAATACTTAAATTTCATTTATGCTCCAAATCTGACTGAAATTAATCTCGAATTTTTTATGATTTCCGGGATTCTCGAAACAGATATTCGACTGGAGAAACGGAACCAATGGCATTGATTGGCAGAGCATCGGAAAGGTTTGCGGCAGAACCACGCCTCCGGCATTTAATGCGACTAGCAATCGAATGAAGGTTACGTTCCACACTAACGAGCGTATCCAAGGCGATGGTTTCCGTGCCCAATGGTACGAGAATTGCGGCGGGATTTTCGAGGTCACCAATACCGCGAAGATCATCGAGTCGCCGGGTTATCCGAATCTGTATCGGCCCAATTCGTTCTGCAACTATACTCTGGTCGCCCCGGGAAAGGACATTATCGTGGAGTTCATGGAGTTCCAGCTCGAACGCGGTGAGAAACAATGCGCGACGTTGATCGTTAATTGAACGCTTATTAAACGTTAATGTTCGTTTTAAAACTTTCGCCTGGTTTTTCGTAAAAACAATAACTTTATTATATCATTTAATTATCCGAACCCCGTACAGGAACAAACAATTCCTATAACTCGATCGTTCATATAATAGGAGTTCGCTGATACTTCCTACTACCTATTGATTCGTTCTGGTCGATAGAATCAGTCATATAGAACGTCGGTTAATCGGTAACCGAATAAAATCTCGTTTCAATAAATGAACTTTTCTAAGAAACACGGAACTTAGGTCGCAGAGATTGTCAATTCGACAATCTGACGATTGTAAAGGACGCGCAGTACGAGCAAGAGGAGAAAACCTACTGCAGCGACAACAAACCACCAATATTCGATTCGTACGAAAAAACTGAGATCATCTTCAGATCGGATAAATACATTCAACGTACCGGCTTCGCGTTCAAATACATCCTCAAAGGTATGTCATTCAACGTTGTTGCATTTAACGATTTAACCACCGTTTGCGAATTCGATTTTAACGACGATGTACGTTGTCGAAAGGCTGCGGCGGAAACATGACGAAACCTGGCAAAATCAAACCTCTGATGAACGGTGGCGAATACTTCTCGAATCTGAACTGCGTTTGGAGGATCGAGGCGCCCCCGGATAAAAGCGTCGTTCTACGTTTCGAGAGTTTCGTGTTAGAATTGGTTCACAGGTAATTGTGCTTGCGTTCACCGTAACGTCAACAATATTCGATAACATGCAACATTGCAGTTGCCTCTTCGACAACATCGAGATTTACGACGGGGGTGAGATCGACGAGGACAAGAGATTGGGCAAATTGTGTGGAAACCTGACGGAAAACCTGCCCGTTTTCAAATCCACGAACAACACCATGGTCGTCCAGTTTTACGCCGACCGGAGTCGCCATTACGGCGGCTTTACCGCGGAGGTGAATCTCGTGATCCGAGCCCCTATTGGATTTTCTCGTAGCCGTGTTCGAGATCGAATTTTGTCGAAGTACGTCGAACGTTTTCGAGCCTTTGAATAATTCCGCAGGTCCTGTTCGCGAAGAGCGTCGCGGCAGGTTGCGGCGGCAGCATCAACCTGACCACGACGAGCACCTATCAATTCAGAACCCAGAAAGGTTCTACTTACGAGAGCTTGGAGGATTGCCACTGGGACGTAACTACACACCCGAGTAACAATATCAGATTCACTATCAACAGCATGGACCTCAAGAACAATACCTACATTAACAAGACCAAAGATTACAACGGCGATTACTTAGAGGCGAGTCTCTACCCAAATTCGATTACACCTGTCGTTCTTTTATGGACGAATTTATTTTTTCTTTACGTAACGATTTTCGATCAGGTTCGCGATGGTTCCGGCCCCTTTTCTGAACTTATTGGCAAATACTACGGTACTCTGTCGTCGCCAATCGTCGTTACGTCCAGCGCGAACTCGCTTTGGATACGGTTCTTTAGCGATGGCACGCTGGAAGGAACCGGTGTCACCGGAACGCTCGAAACCACCGAAGGTAAAACACAGACACAAAGTGACACGAGTGCAGCGAGTAATTTCAGAAAATGTTTCCAAACTTTTCTTAACGCAAAACATTTGGACGTATTTCTAGAAACGTTTGACCCTTAAGTGGATCATTGGGGCCTCAATGTAATTATTTGAAAATTTCAACATGAAGTAAAATAATTCAGTTGAGATCGAGGGTCCACTTAAGGGTTGAAACAAGTATTTTCTCCTTTTCTAACATTAATCACCGTACGAATACTTTTCACGCTGTAAATCCGTTCGATCGAGTCGGCGTTTACTGAAGAAAGATTCGTCCGTTTCAGCGATTTGCCACTACGCTCACGTGGTAAGGAACGACACGAAATACGAGCTCACTTCGCCGAATTACCCTAACAATTACGAACCGAGTGTACGGTGTCGTTGGCAGTTAGAAAACAACCTGGTGGGCAACGAGAAAATAATGATACATTTTAAAGATCTGGACCTACCCAGCTCGGCTAAGTGCGAGGACAGTTATCTTGAAATTTCCGATAGATACGTAAGCTACCTTTTATTTACACCTATCAAAAATTACAAAGAGATAGAAATAAAACCCTTAATCCTGAACGTAATGTCTCGTTCGCGTAGAATATGAGGTACACCGGTGAGGGCTTTGGATCGAGTTTGATTTGGTCTGGCGGCGACGACAATAGCATGTACATGGTAATTAAATTGTTCTACTAAAAATTTTCAAGTTCGTTGATGGAAAAATGCAATCAAAATTAATTGTAAAGTTTGCAAAGTTCGTTCCAATTTATCAATCTTTTATGGCTTTTCTGCAGGGCTCTCACTCGCCCACGACCTCGTACAGGTACTGTGGCCACTCGGTGCCCGGCGATTACTACAGGTAGACAAAATGTCGATCATTTCTGACGCTCTCGATCGCGATGACATCAAATTTACCTTTCTTTCGATACAGTTACAGTTCCATTGTCGACGTAACGTTCAAAGGAGACAGCGCCGGTGCTCACAAGGGCTTCAAACTCGAATACAGCAGCGCGGACTGCAATCGGAATTACACAACACCACAGGGACGAATCCTTCAGGACGGAGTAAAGGATTGCTGGGTCACGATCATAGCACCGGTCAATTACACCATTTCTCTATACTTCCACAGATTCACACTTTACGATCCGGACATGTGCACGCAATCCTCGGTTAAAGCAAGTGTCCCTCTGATTTCTTTCGCGTTCAACGTAGATTCGTTGGAATATTAGCGTGTCTCATTAAATATTTATACGTAGTTCCGAAACGCTTTGCATATTTTTCCAACGATACACTTGCAGATCTATCGAACGTCAGATAATACTTGTTCGAAGAAGTATTTAATTAACTCGAAAATACGCGATATTTTGTGGGACGCCCTAATATTGGATACACAGATTCGACGTTAAAACTCTTCGTTTCTCATGCTAATCTCGTGCAGGTGTACGACGGTGGTTTCAACGATAAACTTTTAGCCATGCTGTGCGGAACGGAAATACCGAGTCCTATTTTCAGTACCGGCAACAAGTTGAGTTTACATTCTTGGTCTGCATGGTATAGTAACTTCCATTTTTACGACATTTCTTTCACCACCACGGACAAAGGTATGTAAACAGAACGTTGCAAAGTATATTGGTGATTTAGAAAGATTGATTTTATTCAGCGATCATTTTACTTCCCGAGAAAATAGCCTTCTTCGAAGGCTTTATTCCTATACTCTGACTTGTTTAAATGAAACAAACGTAGGTCGTGGTTGCGGTGGTCGACTGTACAACTACGCGGGGTCATTCACGTCGCCCATGTATCCGAACGAGTATCGAAACAACACGATCTGCGAGTGGTTCATAGAGGTGCCACATGACATGAGGGTGAACTTGGAGTTCACCGTGTTCGACATTGGTACCAGCACCAATTGCGAGAACAAGTCCAACATTCTAAAGATTTACGAAGTCGAGCAAAACGGAGACAAAACGCTGGCCAACACTTTCTGCGGAGGGGTAATCTCGAATAAAAATCGTTAAATCCCGATTAAAAACTATCTGAAAATTCCCGAGCAACTTCTACGCTTGATTACATTTCTCGAATTCTAGTGAAGATTGACATCTTCACGAACGAAACTCAATCACCAAATTCGTTTCCTTTCAGGATAATCTAGAGTCGTTCCAGACCAATACCGATCGAGTAATGGTGCAGTACATATCAACGGTGAATAACGTTGGAAGCGGTTGGGTCATCAATTTTGAAGCGAAATCTTTTTGAAAATAATTCGAAGGTTAGAGTTAGAAGATTAAAATTTTTTGCAGAACAAGTATACTTGATAGTTTTCTGAGTCGATGCAAGCTGTTTCTTATTGTCAGGAATAACTACAAAAATACATAATTCTATATATTTCCGATTTCCCAGTAACCCAAATTAAATCAATAACCAAAGAATGCTTGAATCGCCTTAAAAACGATTAAGCTTACTTAAAAAATATATTTATTCTTCGAAATATATGTACATTTCACAGGCTAACGACACGGTACGTTCATGTTATTTTGTTTGTTTAGTACAACCCCCGGCGACAACGAAAGACGAAAGGCTCGCAGCGCCAAGATCTGACAACGATTGATCGTCGCAAAATCTTATTTGTAAATAAAAAAAACACATCGAGACGCTCCGTTTACGTTCACGATTCGATGTAGATAAAGATTAAATGAATAGAATTTAATAGAAGCGCGGTATCCAATTAATCCTCTTAATTGACTCCCCGCAAAGAATTGATTGCGTAAATCTTAATAGATATTATATCAACTCAGATATACTTAACTTAAAAAATCATGATTTCGATATAATCGTATTGATGAAATGACAAGATACGTCGTTCGTGGATATCAAACATTCAAAATTCACGCTTCGTCGCAATCCTCCGTGGCCTTTTCTTTCTGAGCTTTATGGCAACTTGCTTTCCCTTCTTCCTGCTCCGCCTCGGCTTCCTGTCCGTTCAAAACGGTTTCTTCCACCACCTCTTCTTCTTCTTGCGCCACTGCCCTCTTCTTCCTAGTTTTTTCCTGCTTATTCTTCTCTGCCCTCTTCTTCTCCTTCTTCGTCTGCGACTTCGCTTTGGGTTCCTCCGCGTTCGCTTCCGCCGGTTCCTCCTCGACCTCCGACGCGGTTTCCTCTTTCTTCTCCTTAAGCTTCTTCTTCTTGTCTACTTTCGTTGCTTTCTCAGTCTTCTCGACGTTCTTGTTTTCCACCTTTCGCTTCGAATTCGTATCGCTCTCCAATTCGGTCTGCTCGTCGACTTTCGTCTCGTCCTTCAGCTTCTTCTCCTTCTTGCCCTTCTTCGAATTCTTCTGATGAACTTCCTGCGACTCCACCGAGTACTTGGACTTCTTCTTCGACTTATCCTTGGCCGCCTCGTTCGATCTCTCGTTCGGTTCTACGTTCTCCTTTTCTTTCAGCTTCTTGTTCTTCGACTTGTACGCTTTCCCGGAGTCCTTGGCTTCCACGTTGCTTTCCGAGTAAGCCTCCTCGTTCTTGCCCTCGGACGAGCTGCTCTTCCTCTTCTTCGATTGCAGTTTCTTGTCCTCGCCGTCCTTCGACTTTCCTTCCCTGGAAAAGCCGAATCGAACGCCGTTAGACGCGCCTATCGTCGAGGAAAATCGGCACAGAAGCAAAGTCCGTGGTGACAGTCGAAGATAAGACCGCTGAACGGTTGCGTAATTGTTATTTTAATTTGCGGAAACAGATGCGTTCGCGCCAGGGACATTACATCGAAACGAGGAATAAAGGTATTCCTTGGAAAACGTTTATCAATGAGAGTTAAGGAAACACCGATAAGATAAATGCATCTAATTTCGACGTCGATAGTCATCGACACTTTTACTTGAAATTCAAAGTATTTCGTTAATACGATCGTTAAGTAATTGATAAAATACTCTTAATTTATCGATATCGATAAAACTGTATATCTGGATAAGAAAATGTAAACAAAGGATTGCCTGTACAAAAATTGCTCGGTTAAATCTCTAATTTGCGGTTCAAAATAACGGATACATACTTCGAGTACGCTACATCTCTCTTTTTCTTGTTGTATCCACCCCTTTCGGCTTCTTTGCCAGGCTTCTTCGCGATCGCCTCGGAGACGAACACCGTGGCGACCAGAAATATGACTAACAGCGTCCAGATCCTGAGAAACCCACGAAAATATTAGGACAGTCGCGGGCTTGGACGAAGAACAAACACGTGCGAAACACGAGCGCAGCTGTGAATCAAAATATTTGCCTCACCGCATTTCGCCTCGCTGAAGGGATCACTGATAGATAAACACAGCTCTGAGAACGATCGAAAGCACGATCCAGCACAACACTGACTGCCGTTCGCTGGCCTCCTTATATCTTATACGTGTCCTCCGGTTGATATCTCGATAAACACGCGCGCTGCGTTTCAACGTTTACGTGGCCTACGAACAGATTGGCGATATCGGCGCCTATATCGCCGCGAAATCGATCTCCAATAGGGCCACGATAGCTCCCTGGCGCGCAAAGTTCGAAGTTCGAACCTCCAGATCGATCCACTTTCTTTGTTAACGCTCTGTCGCGGTATTTTCTAAACTTTCTTAGTCACGGAACAATTTTTATCTATGCAGAGTGTCCCGATGTGATCGTAACACAGCTGAGAACGGACGCTTAAAGAATTTTTTGCTCGAAAACGAATCGAAAGTGTAGAATGAAATATTTTTTATGGCCAATCGTTATCGAAAGAAATTGCATGAGAAATTTTACAAGTACCGTTAGAGTTAATACCAAAAAATGTGGTTAACTAAACTTTTTTCCAAGTTTAATTTTTACGATTTGTACATTAAAATGCAATACAGAACGATATCAAATATCCATTGATAAAATTGAACGCCTTCGAGGCAAATTTGAACGAAGAGTTACGTCAGGAATCATTTTAGTCTCGCCACAGTGTCACTGGAACCTGAGCCGGAAATAGCAAATCATCCTCCCTTCTCATTCTTGAATTTTTCTGCGATATGTCTTTCCATTTCTGTTCTTTCATTGATTCTAATTCATCGACGATTTCTGTCGTTCGACTAACGCGAGAGAATTATATTAATTGGGTCGGTTGATATCTAATCTGCGTACTTGCAGACTTTGACGTCAGTGAACGCTCAATAGAAATACTATAATGTAACAAACACATGCAGTTATTCCGCAGGTGATTTCCGAGAAGCCCTTTATCGAACTATTGAAGCAATAGACTTTTTGGTATCTATCATTAAAAAAAGTTTCAATTATTTTAATTCGCCAAATTGATTTGTCAAATATTGAAATTAGTCCACTTAAATCCCATTAATTCTAATCTTAAGGATGTTCGTGTAGCAATTTCACAATTCTGTTATAAAATTTATATAAAAATCACTATTATATCGCGGCCTATAGTTCGATGACCCTTAGTCTCGATGATAAGGCGCGCAAAACTGTCACAACCGATGATGTTCAAATAACGACGTTAATAATAAATAATTTTATCTTTCCTAACACCCCTCGATTTTGATTTATTATTAACGAGCAAACATGGCTTATGATGGTCCATTATTCGTTTGAATAATGCAGTATCAAACGTACAGCAGTTGCTACACATTTCATGAATGTGAGTTTTTGCCACACAAACCATTAACTCAGCTTATAACATAATTATTGCTTTCAATCGGATCAACTGAAATCGATAATTTAATAAGTGTAGAATTTAATCAAGACAATGTCAGACCACTGATATAATCAATTTATTGTACATTCTTCCTGACCCGATATCATCAAATTTTTACTTGTTTACGTTTTATACAATTCTATTAACACGTCAGCTACCACACGTCACAGATATGCGACGCCTGATTGTCGCGAGGAACCGACGTCGCCCAAGGGTGTTTCCGTTAACTAGAATATTTAACATTGCAACATGTTTAGACGATATATTTTAAAAGGAAATAATTTTGATAACGGAGTTTATATTTTAATTAACTGATCTCTCATTTTCCTTGCGATTACTGGAAGCGAAGTTTTGCGTTTCTCCAAATGATTGATACCGTGATTCAGCTGGGAATATTCGGGGAAACTCAATGGCGAAAGTTGTTAGACCGTGATCTGGAGAACGCTATTCTCGGTGAATTTGTCACGAGCTCGAGCGTGGGAGTGCCAAGGCTAGTCTTCTCGGAGCCGTTTCACGTTATTTTTGAGAATCCGAAGGACAATTGGGAGAAGGCTGTTTGTTGGCGCGATTTTACGTTGCACTACTACAGAGTGATCCATTTTAGCTCGCTCAAATTCGATCGAAACTAACAGCGATATCAAAGGAAAATTAAGAAACTAAAAAGTTTAGAGCTAACGCGTCCAATGCGATAACTTCTTTCGTAGACATTGATATGTTGTGGTGTACAACCTGACGTGGAAACAGATTACAGAACTTTTCCAATAGATTGAATCAGCCGAAATTGAACTTTTACAATAAAAGTTCTCACATTGTAACTCTCGCTGATAATAGATAAATAAAAGTTCGGGTTTCGATAAAATTTATAAGTGACAAGGATACTAAGTGCTTACGTAACAAAAACAAATATTTTTGCTGTTCAGGGCAATCGCATTCTGTACATTTTTCAATTTTACTTTCATGTTTGCTGGTACTCGGCAAACAGACTTGTCAGTTATGCTCCGTACTTGTCGTTCGTATCTAATAATAGCAAAAAAATAGACTTTATTCTGGCGAAGTTATACTTCAGACGTGTATATCGCTCTGCTTCGTAACGAAGGTTGAGTGAAATATGGCTTTATCTAGGTAAAGACACTATAAGCTTAAAATCAATATTTAAAACTCAGTTTTTATAGAATAAAAGCCTCGTTTCGCTTAATAGCCGTAAGTTTCCCGATATATCTGCTTTCACAAGCTTATAGTCCTTGTACAAACATTTTGCAATGGTAATTTGAATCTAGAAATCATTTCACAATACTGCTTTCCTTTAATATTGGTCCACGAATTTTCTAAGCATACAGTACGTTATTTATCTGATGCTTTGTCGCTTGTTACGACTCATTGATATCTATTCTTGGTGAAAACTTGCAACAAATAGCGTCGCGATACCTTGGAACGATAAATCGAATGCGCAAATTGAATTTCTTTTATCTGTGGTCGTTTATCGTATCCGCCAGGTCATTTGCACGACTTATCTTTCGATTGTTCTTGTAACATTCTACGACAATTCGTGTTTGAATTTTACTGGTCGTGCGCTCGATCTCGAGATACGATTAAAATTTTATAAATGTTCATGATGCAATATAGATCATCGGTGTTGATCGATTTATCGAAATGTTTCTAACAGAAATCGTTGACTCATAGTCACGAAACGGTTTCTCGATCGATTTTCTTTTTTCAGTTTTTGGAAACACAATTCACCTTCCTTTTTTTTGTGCAAAAGGAAAATTACTGACACAGTGTAATTAGTGAAATTATATGTAATCGTATATTTTTTGTTCACATACATATCCGTATCAGTAGTTTGTACCGTAGATTTTCTGGTGTTAAATCGATTTTGTTACAATGTCGTGTAATTTAAGTTTGAAAAAACACTCGTGGTCCTTCTATCGTTCGAAAACGATTATTAAGATTTAAATCTGTTTCGAGTATCAACCGAATTCTGGATTACGACGTAATGTTTTCGAATGAATGTTTAGGGTGATATCAATTGTAGCGTGGCTGGCAGATGGCACACGGAGAGTACAGAACTGTATACGTAGACAATTATACATTTATATACAATTATTTGTACATTAAACTAACGCACAGTCGGGCATAAATTGTGGAAGAAGAGTCTGGCTCTTCCCTATGTATACAACCCTTATCCGTTTCATACGCGTAATAATGTGAGGAATTATTTTTATTTAGTTTTGTATTACAGTATTAATCCTAACATTTGTTTATAATTCATTTTCTATAGTCTGTTAAGTATTCGCGTATAACAAAGTACTCGCTTATAAATAACGAACAAAGAGAACAACGTGGCTTATCGTTATAGTATCTAAACGGGGCCAGTATAAAAATAATTAAAATTACAATACTTGCAAGGATCATTTCTTAACTTTGTGTATCTTACGAATGGAATCATTAAGTTTCAAGTTAATAAAAGAGAGAGAGAGAGATAGCTCCAGAGAGAACGAAACGTTTCCTATCGAACATTTATTATCTTTTGCAAATTTGTGTTTACCTTCGAGACGAATAGTGACTAGTAAGTTACGATCGAATTAACGGTGGAACAACGAAAGTATTAAGTACTAAATAAGTAGGTTATGTGCACTCAACAGTTTTGTATCAGATCTCTTTTGTAAAATAAAGGTAGAAATGATCGAGAACTGCCTAATGTAAGGCACTAATCAGTATAGTATAACTTCTCTATCTGCTTTTTGTTTTTGTACATTGTACTTTACCCACTTTCTATGACGTATTTGACGTTTGTAGAGGTGCAACATGTCTTAAGTACAGACAATGTAAAATTCGCATCAACCTCTCTTTTCGCACGGCGTATGCAACAGATTGATAAAAGTATCGCCGGCAAAGCTGTAGAGACATTCTTGATTACAAGTCACCGAGAACGTTCTTCGAGCCAAAAACACGAAACCCTCTGGAGTGTGTGCTGACACCCTCGAAAGAAACAAGAAATACGAATTTCACGTATCAAGTCATAATCAATTTCTAACTCAAACACGCACAAGCTCTTCGAACATAATAGCGCGAAGCAACGGTTCCTAAACGTTTTAGCAACCTTTCGTTGCCGGGGAAGGGGAAAAAGCATCGATCAGTCTTCTGTTCGCAACAATTTAAATTGACCCTTTCGCGATAGAAAATATTTTAACTTGAACAAGAACTGCGCGTGCCTCTGTTGGTTTTGGAAACGGTTGCTCTCGTTTACGAGAACCATTTATTTTACGAACATGTTCTACGTTTGGAACAAAGCGAATCAGCCGCTCAAGATCGCTCTTGCGACAGGAGATTGGACAGAGTGGGGGAGGTAATCAGACCGCGTGGAGGGGACAGCGACCTTGCGCAGCCAAACAGATTTTGTTCCGACTATAAACGGCTAAGGTCTCGACGCGTAAGAAAAAGGTTTTGATCACAGAGAATATACGCGAACACATGGTCGTTAAAGATCATAGCTCGAACCTAGAAATTAGCGCTGCGAGTATTTGTGCTTCCACCTCGAATGCAACTTTGCGAGAATTACGTAACGCGATAAGGAAAACCTCGTAAAAGTGTTATTTCAACGTTGCAATATACATACCCTGGCTTCTATAGTGCTTCTCCCACGTGGACTACGGGTCTATTTACATAGATACAGGGACGTTACGAAAAAATAAATGTTTCCTATATACAGAGGCTGGCTCCTCGCGGCTCGAGGCCAATTAGTTCCCGCACAAATCACAACTCGTACGTTTCGCGCTATTCGTCGCGTTCGAATGTGTTACGCTTCGTCGAGAACGTCCGAACGGCTCTTAACGATCTTCCCGTTTTTGTGGGGCAACTCGTTCAAAGGCTGGGAGTCCTCTTGAAACGATTGCGGATACTTTTGGTCGGGATAGTTCCACGCTTGGATGTCGCCCGTGCCAAATATCTGATAAACAACGTACGTGCCGCACGCGACGCACGCGGTCACGCCAAACACTTGCCTCCATGCGTCGAGGGCTTGCTGTGAAACGAATTCTCCATTATTTCAATCGATATGCAACGTGGCATTTCTCGTTCCACGTTTCGTAACTTTGGATTCGACAGGGACATTTAACACTAAACCTACCGACACTTTCCTACCATGACCGGTCATTCTTTTTCTCTTTTACGACGGAACGTGCTTCTAATTTTTGCATTACAAGTATAGAAAGTTGTGTTTTCAAGTTTACTCGTAAGATATCCTAAAGCATTGAATGCTAAGAACCCGCACAAAAATATTCAATACTTTTACTCTAAACGTGCATTAGTACTTTAATAATATTAGTAAAATAGTAATTTTCATCGGATAGAAGATAAAACGCCCTTGAAAACGAATTTTCTTTCAAGTCGATAGCGTAGTTGGTTCTAGAGAAAACAATTATTTACGAAAAAATGGCATAGTAATTATGCAAACATCCTGTATACAAATTTACATTCATTTTCAATTGAATAAATAATTTATGGTCCAGTTTTATCGTACACGTATGATCAACAGGAAGTGCTGAAACTACTTTGGGTATGTAGCGTCAAAGTAAATGTGAAAATAAACATAGAAGATAGCATAAATTATAGTAATTAGTATAGTCATTGGATAGAAGATAAAACGCCCTTGAAAACGAATTTTCTTTCAAGTCGATAGCGTAGTTGGTTCTAGAGAAAACAATTATTTACGAAAAAATGGCATAGTAATTATGCAAACACTCTGCATACAAATTTACATTCATTTTCAATTAAATAAATAATTTATGGTCCAGTTTTATCGTACACTAGTCGTATGATCAATAGGAAGTGCTGAAACTATTTTGGGTATGTAGCGTCAAAGTAAATGTGAAAATAAACATAGAAGACAGCAAAAATTATAGTAGTTTTTATAGTTATCGGATAGATGATGAAATGCCCTTTAAAACGAGCGTTCGAACAAATCGATAGCTTTATTAGTTCCGGAGATACAGCGATTTTAATTTCAAGTCGATGCGGTGGCTAGTTTCGGAGATATAAGGGTCCGAAGCGTTTGTTTACATTATTACTACGGCCTTGTCAAGGTCGTTCACCGCACGTGCTCGTAGTAAATCGTAAACGTGACGTCACTCATTCATTCGGTCAGTGGGTCAACGTGCGACAAGGAGGTCCGACGCGACGCGTTAGACGAAGACAGCGATAGTCGAATTAAAAAAATTACCCCTTTACATAAATTACGATATCTCGAGAACGAAAATTCCGATCGACAAAAACCAAAAACCATTTTAAAGAGGAAGGTTTGCCGCATCCAACGATGGCTGAGTTATGCAGAAAACACTACTAGTTTCGGAAATACACGCGTCTAAAGTTTAACTATTTTTAATACGCGTTGTTAGACTGTTTTAAGACTGACGATTCTTTCCTTTCGTCTTTGCTATAAAAAAATATAAATCATTCAACCGGTCAGATGACCGGTCGTGGTAGGTCTAGTGTTAATATAAAATTAAATGATTTGAAACGCTCTCGGAGAGTATTTAACAAAGAACGTTAATTTTACGGTTCGAAATTTCACTTACGCTTTTCTGTGTGAGTAGACCAGCTACAACCGGAGACAAGAAACTCGCGGTCATGTGGATTGTCTGCGCGAACGCCAATATCGGTCCTGTAAGCAGGGCAATCGAATGAGAAACGTACGTTTAGCGCATTTTGCAATTGCACGCGGTATCTCGTGTTTCTAGCTTACCAGCGAAATTTGGCGCGATATCAACGATGCTTGCCATTGCCCCTGCATAGGCAGCAGTGATAAGGGTAACGGCTATGAACCACACCACTAGAACGAGTATGATGTCACAGCCTAAATAGCCGATCACCACCAGTAGTATACCAGGCACTACTTGCGCTGTACAAATGAGGAATGCAATCGTTAGAGAATTTTACATGACTCGGAACATTCTAAACGCGATGGAGATACGTACAAGCGGCGGTGAACAACTTGCGAACGTTCGTCAGCGAGAGAATCTGTCGCGTGACAAGGACGTCGGCCACGTAGCAAAACAAAACGGAGCTGAAGTAGCTGCAGATGAACGGCAAACCGGACAGGACCCCGTTCTGAAAAGACAACAATCGTTTTCGTAAGAGGACGGTCATCTCGCGAAACGCACGAAGCACATTCGAAGAACGAACCGCTTGAATACTGAATCCCAGAACCGTCTTCATGTACATTGGTCCAGAGATGATGAAGATGTAATGCACCCATATCCTTCCGAACGTAGTGATCCCGATCGACCAGGCTGCCCACGACGTGAGAATGTACCTCCACGGAACTGGCATGTTCTTTGCAAAAAAAAAGAAAGAAGAACGACTTTGATCATCCTCGAGTAGCCGGATAAGACTAGCGGGACCAAACTTTTGTGGAAAACTGAGATTGCCACGGGCTGGAAAGGTGAGTCGAGAATGTAATGGCGAACCAATAGTTAGAGTACCTCGTTCGTTCCAAGAACTTGGTTCCCAACACTTTCTTGGATATACCGTAGCTCCTGTTGTGATATTCTCGGATGCGCGGCGGGCGTATCGAAGGCGTAGAAGTACCAGAAAAGGCACCAGAGCACTCCGATACTGCCTGTCGTGTAGAAGACCACTCTCCAACCGAAGTGAGCGATGATGAATCCGCACAGTGGATAGGTTATCCCGATGCCGAAGCTGAACCCTGAATATAGATAATCTAGATGTTAGGAGTGGCTCACCCTACGACCCGGAAGGAAGCTGAAACATGATGCTTGTCGAATGGCTTCGCCTTGGCTCGTGTACGATTCATGCGTGGCGACGATCGCTCTTCAGCGGTGGCGCTATATTTCACCCTGTAAAGCGATTCAAGTAGAGTCTTAGTACGAGAGGATGAGGATGAGTGCACGTCGAGGCTGCTACAGTGGGACAATGAAACTTCTATACCTGAAAATATATCAAGAGCTTCTCGCTGGATTTCATCTGACTAATCGCGTTCGAAAATTTTCACGGAATTACGAATTTGCCGCGACGTTTCTTCATTACGGAGAATTAAAAAGAAAAACATGTTCGATCCGCGAGCCTTTCGAATCGGAATAAAAACCGAAAAGTCTGGATTGAAAACCTCTGACGTCAACGATATCTCTTTGGTTTACGAAAGGAAAACGACTCTGTTAAAATCCAGCCTTGATTATTAACATGGTACAGCGTTTCATGGTGAATTCTATGCGAGCATACGTCCCTTTCCTGCCACGTCGAGCACAGTAATACAAATTTTCTATCGAGACTCGACGTTCGTGAACGAAACAGAAATTAAAAATCTAGCGCGTTATCGACGTCAGTAGAGGGGTGTACGATTTACACGCACCAAGGCTAGCCCGCGATACTTCATCGACGCATTGTAAACGAAAAAAAAATGGGACAAGACGAGAGAACGTATCGTGACAAGTTTCGATGCGAAAACACGTACATCAATCGAGAGCATCGTCCGTAACCGTGAATGTTTGTGCGAGGTTGTATCGTATTTATCGCTGGTCGTAAAGAAAAACTAGAGACAAGTACAGATTTTCTCGTAGATGCAGCACCGACAACATACAGAACGATGAGAAATGTATTACGAAACATGTTCCTCGAGCACGGCTGATTCTACCAGCTGGAAGTATACTCGGCCATTCTCATGCTATTGAGCGGTCGCTGTTGAGTATACCCCTCGGTCCGGCGAATGCAACCACGTGGAGCTTAAACCAATCAGAACAAAGTGAATGAAACAATCGCATTCGCGCGTAAACGTGCGATTTCACGTATTCGATTGATACACGTGGCTCTTGGTCCGGAACCGTGAATTTTAACTGAAAGCAAAACGTTCGGAGCAGAGACGAAAGATTTTCTCATTCCGTTTCCCGCTTTCTGAAAGAATCGTGCGTTAGTATTTAGCTGGGTCACATGTGTTTCAATAAAGCAAAATAAAAGACCGTCATTGCGACTGGACTATCGCGTCGTACGTATCGAAGTTTCACTGTAATATACAAAAGAAAATACGTTCGATTAGAGGATGGACGCTCACCTTGGAAGGAAGACATGAAACGCGAACGTTCCACAGGGGGTATCCAGTGCCCGACGATAGCGTACATTGCTGGCCACGTGAGTCCCTGGGAACAACAGTTTTCCGTCAGTTCGAGCAACGTTTCATCGTGATTTCAAACCAAACGTTGTAACCTACTCGTATAGAGCATTTACAAATTATTGTATTCGAAAATTAGCTGACTTCACAGTTCTTGATTAGAAATTTATCTCAATTCTTCAGGATTAAGAATAAAAAATCGTAGGATTGGAAAGGTGCGGTTTTGCTTTAATGTATCACGGGTCGTAAGCGACCCAGGATCAGCTGCACGTGTCTCTGTTCAAAGATTAAATTCTTTCGACGGTGGATTACACTTACACTGGCAATGCCCTGTATGCTACGCAGAGCAATCATGGCGCCGTAATGAATCCCCGCGGCGGTCGGCATCAACAGGCTGCAGATCGCCGTAATGAGCTGAGAGCCGCCGAAAACCGTCTTGGTGCCGAAATATTGGGTCAGCACGCCCCCGACCACTTGCGACAATATGTAGCACCAATAAAACGAACCGCTGATCGCGGATTGTATCGTCGGGTTCCATTCGAACTCCCCTTGATCCTGCGTGACAAACATAATCGTACTTGTCTACAATCCGTCCCTCGCAACTGACAACATTGTTGCAACACCTCTCCAGCATTAGCTTACACAGCATGCTAACGGAAAATAAACATTTGCATTTTCCAATAACAAGATACAAAGCCAAACAAAGATACATGCATGTACAATTTCTTAACGAACTCCTGTCAGACATGACTGATCCGATCAATGAAGATTAACGATCGTAACCAGCTCGATATTTTCGCGGAATCCGTGAAACAACCGCAACCGTGATTGTCTTTGACCACGAGTGGGCATCGTGGTTCGCATTGTCCATTAAATGAACCGGCGACAGGGTTACGTAAGTGTTTACAAACTTAATTACTGTCTCCGCGTACCGGTGATCGTAACGTGATCGGTGTTCTAATCGTTCTATCGTTCTCAATCGCGGTGGAAATTATCGCGCTGCCACAAAACCAGCAATTACGATGTTCCATCGACGGTGAGGTACCACAATGGAAGAACGTACGTGTACGGTGATTAAACACGTGACGTTACGTGAACATGTTTCTTAACTGTTCAGTTACGTTAGGATGTTATCGAAGCGACCCGTGTAACTTAATCACCATAATCGATATCGCGGTGCGGCGCCTATCGAGCGGAATTCTTTGAAAAACGATACAGACAATTTTTCGACGTACACTCGTTCTAAGAATTCAAAAGTTTACCATAAAGGATCTGTAGAAACTGGGACATTAGTTTTCAAACATTTCACGACATGCAGGCAAAATATATTTAACTCGTGACTTTTAAAATTCTTAGATAAAGTAATATTCTTTTTCGAAGGAACGTTTCATGCTTGTTTGTGCTTTTGATGACTCGGGGATTGTGGAGAGGATTTCACGTGCTATGCAATTTCTCATGAATTCATCGTCAACTCTACCTCATATCTGATCAATGTGTTGTTGTTTGCGTACGATGCATTCGATGTCACGTAACAATACTGAGAAGTCTCCGGGATCATACTGTCGTTGGATGAGGGCGGTGGCGGTTTCACCATCGCCACCATGGCGATGTTGATGTCGTTCCTCATCATGAACGAGACAGTGAATCCCGAAAACGACAGCATATACAGCACCACCCGCGCTGGCACCATGTCTGCAAACGCGAACACGCCCTGTGATCGGCGAAATATCCTCCTCTATTGAACTTAACGTCTCTAACAGACCAAGAAGTAATTCTCTCTTTCGTTCTTCGATTACTTCCAGAAGTAATAAACATCCACGCGTGATAATTGGCGGGCATCGAGCACAATAATGAATGCGACAGAAAAGAAAATGTTTCAGTATTTTCGATGCTTCTGCCTTCATTTTGCCCATTTAAAAAAAAAATTACAAAGCTACTGTATCCTGCCTCGGATGTGTCTACTATGTAGTTGGCAAAAATCTACTATATTTAACATTTCCGGTCAAAGCGCTTTGTATATCATTAGTCTTGGATCTTACGTAAGCTCAACAATGTTTACTAAGGGCTTTTCGTGTACGGTTTTGCTCTGAAACAATCTAAGGCGGAAACGTCGAAAGTGGTATTAGAATATTTTTATTTCCACTGCATTTATTATCACTTTTAATAGCGACCCAAATTATACGTTTAGATATTTATTACTTAACGTCTCTGATTCGTTCGTAATTCCTCCTTATACTGTTTTTCATTCTCTCCATTATGATTTTATAGCGTGAAGAGTCGTTTACCTCTCAGTTTTCGCAGGCTGCATGGTGAGCGTGTCTTATATATGTTTTGATCTTCGTATCTGCGTAATAGATGCAATTGACATTTTTATATGAACCAAGGAATCAGTTGTTATAAACAAGAAAAAGTGTACGTTGTCGCTCAAAACTTTGGAGCAACCTTCTATAAAGAAATAGAACCTTTTTATGCACATATACTTCCATTAATATCATGCTTATACGTTATTCTTTTAGATATATTCTTCCAATTTTTTGATACATATACTTATCCCCCTTACCATTATACGTATATTACATTTTACATTTATCGTAATTTTTCTTTAACATGTATCACGTCATAAGAGGACCATAAAATTAACCAATCGAAACGTTCGATTTAATAAAAGTATGTACACATCACTTGCCATCAATTGGCTCAATTACAGCTCATCATTTATTTAGGTTTCATCGTTTTGTACGAGGACAAGTAACATTTGTTACAATTCCATGCATCGTTCTCCATTTGGGCGGCATGTAAATGTAGAAAATACATTTCTGTTTTAACGAAACCCCATTTTTGCTTGAAACGTATCGATAAAATTCATTTAAAAAGCGCAATAAAATAAAATTCACGCGATAAAGTTAAATGATGCACAGAAAAGCATTTTGTGTATATGCAAAAAAGGATTCGTTTATATCGAAGATCGATAAGTGCTCCAGACTTTTGCGCGGCAATGTCGAATCGTCTTTTTATTTTTATTTTTTCTTTGCCTTCGTTATGGCGTAACGGCACGAGAAAATAAGTCGCGACAAGGTAGCGGATTTAATTACAGTCGAGAATTGAGTTAATGAGTTGGAATTGCAGCGTCACTGGCAACCTGTTGCCGTTTAACAGCGAACACGGTGTTATTTAATATGCAAATCGTTAAATCCTATTCCCTTACCCCTGGGACTCCTCCATCGTCATGTGCGTTGGTTACTGTTCGTGCGAAAAGAGACAACTTCCTTATATAGGAGTGTGATCCAGGATCACCTGGGATTCTGGAACACAGAATTTTATTGTACATTGCAATTAATGAAATGGGTCGTTAATTGTTCCAATAAGCAACTCGACCGCTTATTAGACCAATTAATCGCCCATTCGTCGAACGTAAAGATCGAAAGGTTGTACATTTATCTTATATTGAAATAAAAATGCTGTATTCCGGTTACTCTTTTCTTATTTTTGAGAACAGACTGAAGCTCGTCCCCTAATTTCCTTATTTAACAATAGTCTGATCGGAGCTGCTAGAAGATTTATTCTTCGTGAATTTCATGTATCATTTGTCAATTGAACTTATGAATTAATCATAAGATTATGTGATCGTAAATCGTAGCAATGATAATACGAATTAATGGACTTCATTGAGGAACGGTTGAATTGTCTCGACGATTTAGCTATTAACTTCATCCTATCCGGATTATTATCGTCTCTGCGATAGCTATCGTACGTAATTGATGCGAATTTCAAGATCTAATGCAATCCACTCCTCCACGTTCGAGTCGTGAATTGATCACAGTACGGCGTCGCGACTACACGCAACAAATTATCGTAAAGATTCGCCACATTTTTATGTAACTTCCTCGAAGCTGTGCGTTCTCGAGATTCTTCGGTCTCGTCAACGCCAATCATTAAACAATTATATATTTGTTCATCGTTGTACAACCAACTACCGACTCTAATTAAGCATTTGTTTCCCATTTTAATGCTTGTAAAGAAACGCCGAAGCAATTACGCTATTACTCATACCGTCGAGTTGTTGATACTAATTTATTAGAGAAACGAATACGACGAAGTGTAATCGGTGACGATACGGATTATTAAATAATCAATCTACTTACACAAAAAAAAAGTAGGTCAAGCATAATCGTCGAGAACAGATTATATGTATACAATTTTTATAATATTGTAAGTTAACTGTAACTTGGGTAATCAACTTTTACATTTCGTAAGTTTATAGTCGTTACTTATGCGTACGATGTATTTATGTGGAATGAGCCGCGTATGTAGCGGCTAAATAAAATCGATTTCCCGCTGTTATCTCGAGTTGGAAGAAATGCCGGCAACGCGGCTTTATTAGAGTCTTCGACTCGATGACGCTAAGAGAATGAAGTATCCCGGGACACAATGGCGTGTGGACGACTTGCGAGGGCGTGATGAAATTCCGACACGGTTCTCATATACGCGGCATGCGACGAACGAGCTCGAAAATTCATCAGTTTGAAAAGGTCGCGACTTCGATCACGCGAAAAGCTAGGAAAACGTTTCCCCGAACGAGGACTCGCATCCTTCCGAGAAAACGACGCGATCGCACTATTTTTCAACCTGTGCTACTTCCTTTATCAGCGTACGCTATTTGCTATCAGTTTTCGTTCGAAAAACTCCAAAAATATCGTGATTTTCCTGGATTATAATATCCTTTGAAAAGTCACTTCGCGCGAAAGCTTAGGTTCCCCACAGCGGTGTTGTTTATATTGCAACGATTTACGACTGTCATTAACAGCAATCACGATAACTTTATTACGACACTCCTGAATCCGATTGAATAAAACGCGCGTATTAACCGTATGATTACAAAGTAATAGTTTAAACGAACGTAGTCTATAACGTTCAATCATGACCAGCGACGTTCTCTCGATAACCGATATATAATCTCCATACCGTGTTATGAATTTCCTGTTCGTGCCGATAACTGGTATCGCGAACGAGAAAAAACGATAAAACAAGCATCGTGCGTGTTTGGTTATTTACTTTTACTTTTCGCGGATCGATCGTACTTTTACAGCCATGAATTTCTCGCGGACGTCGCCGCTACGTGATTCATTGCGAATAAACTTCCGATGATTTATCTTGCTGACCGTGTAACTTTTTTTCTGCAACTACGGCCGACTTTACGGCGGACTAGGCACCGACTCGACGGGCCGGCAATGTCCTTGAACTTCGATAACGTTAGTGCAAATATATCAAATTCGTTAAAATTGCTAGATCGCGTTTCAAGGTACTTTCGCGTAAAATCATGATTTGCGCTGATATAAATTGCAAATACGAGTCTTTTACTTTTGTGTCGGCCCTGTCTGTAACCATACACACGTAATAAGTGTATGACGTTACTTATGACGACGAAGAGTCACGTGCTCACACGAGAATCTTCGAACAACCGAAGCTTATTCATACTTGATGCAAATTTCGTACAAAGGAAACATTAACTGTGTCAGTATCTGTATCGCGGTGACTTTTCGCGACGCCTGGTTTCCTGTTTGAATCGACGTCGACCGAGCGAGACACGTGCTCGAATGACACAATTCTGTTGTCAAGCCTTGCTCTTCCTCGCGATTCATGTCGATATTACATAATCACACGCGGTGAATTGTAATTCCCCGTTACACATTGTATTTAACACTCGATTGCAGGAAATCCGTAATGTAAATAATCGCGCGTATTAAACAAATTCGTGGACTGATTGCTTTTCTCGTCGAGAAATAAAAAAAAAAATATGACACAACTCGTTACTGACAGAGTGAGTAATGATTACGAGGAAATTTTCTCCGTTTCCCGGTGCTCGTTACAACCGAGTCAACTGTATCGTTCTCGACAATCACAGAACTGTGTTACGTTATTATTTCAATGAAGATATCAAAAATTCTCACAGCTCGCAAGAATGTTTCGTATATTCGGCGATATTCGAGGCACGCGCGGCAACGACCGTCAACGGCAATACGATGATGGTGCAAAAAAAAAAACGGGTAAATTATGGTAAGCAAGGACCGCAACGTTTGTAAACGAAGACTCGAGAAACGTTGATCGCGAAATATTATCGCGAAACGCGTCATGGAACTCGTAAAATATCGTTTCTTACGACCGATTTACATTTCGTGTATTCACTGCATAGTTTAAAAATAATAGATGAAGGTGCACTGTGAATCGTCGGTTGTAAACGATCTATACCACATTGCTGGACGTGGTTTAGATCGAAAATAGAAAACGGTTACTTACAGCGAAACACGTGGCAAACGATCGATTCTGATCAGATTCCTCGCGATCGATGTCCAACTACACTAATGTTTACATCACAGGAGCCCAAGAAACGACTATCACCTGTGCTTTTTCGCTGCTGAACCTCGTGGCCAGTGACATCCGCGTATCGCGCGATAATGAAACGATCGCGAAGACTCCGCAGCCCAGGGTATCGAATTAACAGAGTTGAATGAATGTTCTTATCCTCTGCTCCGAGGTAATCGGACGAACGTTCGTTAGAGTTCTCGGTTAATGCTCGAACGAAGACCCGATGCTCAGCAAAGATCCACGGCGTAATCTTGATTAGCGTTCGGACTCCAAAGGCAGCAAGTCGTAAAGGAACGAAAGCTTATCCCGGACGAGGAGAACAGTCGACACTGAAAGGCGACCGGACCACGAGGCATGGACTATCGTCTAGGCCCCACCACTTTTGCTTTTCAATCGGCCATCAAGCGTTGTAGGAAATCCGCAAGGATCGCGAACGATGAAACGCGACAATCACGATTCGTCAACGACCACGCGGCGTCGTCACGATCGAAACCGCCGATAATTTTCGGGGGTAATGCTGATCGTATCAGCGCTGTCGACGTACCACGTGATCGAGGAAAAAATAACAGAGAAAAAAACACCGGATAATGGGTGTTAATTGCAATCTGAAACCGAGACCATCCCCGTAACCGCTTATTACTTTTCCATTATAACAATGTTTAGAAACTAGCTAATCGAAATCGACGTTACGAGTCAGACTTCTCTTCGCTTTCTAAAGTTTGAATCGTACGTGAATTTTCAGAAGCTTACGGTCACTCAAAAGTACGGAGTAACCTCATCGAAATTCACGAAGCCTATCTAAATGAATTTTGCCTAACATCTCGCTTCGAGAATTAATTTTTGTATCCCCTTAATGAAAAGTCCTATCATCCACATACGACAGACAATGAGTTAAAAGAATTTGTAAAAGATATCTTTTAAAATTGGATATTTCGATGCATGATTACCAGTAGTCGAGAAAAATATACGAGAACGTTCGTAGTAATTAGAAATTGAAATTCCGGTCTCTACAATAATGACACGTGAGAACTGAACAGTAAACCACGCGTGTGCTTGACGTCGTGACGATCGAATACATATTACGCGCATGGCTCTTTCGATCCATAAAAAAGTCATCGCGCTAAGTACTTCTTTATTCGATTCGTGTTTCTTGCTTCGGCTGCATAAACATTGCTCGAACCGATTCTATCAATGATGAATGCACTGAATATTAGGTGACAATATTTCATTCTTGCATTTCTTTTGTTGTTTGCCAAACGATAAGCGGGTGGAATAATAGCTTTCTTTTTATTGGTTTTTAGAGCAACGATACAAAATTAGAAGTAATGCAATCGAGTGAACATTCACAATTTTTAATCGTACAACTTGGCGCTTCGTTATCGAAGAAATGCAACAGGATGTGAGAAAGGGTCGATGTATCGATTTACTGCTTGAGATGGGTACGGTGATGTGTTCCTTGAAACAGCGTTTTCCGTCGACTACTCGTTTACGGTTTAATGTCTCGAGTGTGAATCGTTATCGCAAGGACGCTTGCAACGAAACTTGACGGGTCAATTTTCACCGATCGATCAACGCGAACTTACAAGCTACCGTTTATATTCTATGCTGAACGATTATAGCGTGTAATGCAGCTCTTTATCGTTCGATACCTTCGTCAGGGCATTGCTGGTTGTGAAACTATTACGTCGTACGCAATTTCACGACCGTATTGCGTGCTTCTATATAAATAAAATACGTAAAACTTAGTCATGTCCTGTATATTACATAAGTTGTATAGAACAAAAACCTCTTCAAATTTAATCTCAAACAAATTACGCCGTAGATACTTTCGCTGTGAAAGCAAGCGTAAGCGAGATATCGTACATTTTTATAGTTAGACGTCCCCGATGATCCTCTATATAGCTGATATTTTAAGTTTGTCTATTTTAGGGGTACGTTAAGTCATTTTCTCGTGACGTGGATGCAAACAGACAGGTACAGACACAACTAAATTTTACTTATAATTATTTAGTATGTTCAACAGAGTATTAGTAGTTCGTTCAAAATCGATTCAGCAGATATTCAGTTAAACCTGAACGAACAACAGAAATTTTAAAACTGTGTAATTCGGTTTATTTCTATAGACGTGGAATGTTGGTAATGATCCATCTTAAATATTATTCGTGCCTTCACATAACTATGTAGACGATTACTAACTACTATGTAATTTATTTTTCGTGAAGAATGGTTTAAAGATAGATACATCAACGAGTTCGATATGCAACGATATGCAATATAACAGCGCTGAAACAAAGCCAGATATTTGTTAAAAGACATGCACATTTAGGATAAAAATTTCGTTTTCGATTCAAGAAGCGAACCTGAGCTGCTGTTGGAATTCGATTCTTCTGGATTTCACTACCGGATACGCGTCATTCTTAATTACTATGCAGTTGACCCTATTTAGTTTATAATCCCAATCTGGTCGCGTGACGCTCGATGGAATTCTTACGCCGGCCGGCATGAGATCGAACATGTGAGCCCTCGTGACGTTCTCTACCCCCTGATTATTCGATTCATCGTCTTCGATGGGAAATGTACACCCGAGCTATCCGTTCGAATCGCTTTTGAAACTTGAAAACGACACACCGACGCCCAAACAGACGTTCCTTTTCACACTTCGACCACTAAAGGAACAAACACTGTCTTCCGTTTCTTTCTCCAAACTAAACGCAATTTCACAGAGGCAACTGTCGCGAGATTTGTTCTATCAATAACACGTCAGTGATTCCAAAAAGCAGACCGGCTCCGCCAGGGAACTGTCACTCCACCCACACGGGTAGATACGTGAGCACCGGCGCTTTGAACAGCTTCGAAAAGTCGAGAAAGAAGTCAATATTTGAATATTTTAATCGTACAATTTACCTCTGTTTCAAGAGGGAACTGCTTTGCACAGATGCAACAGCGTTCAATTAATTCTAAAGTTGTTAAATACAAAGGGTAAACGTAACTATACTTTCAATTTTCTACAGATTAAAACACTTTCCCTTGCTATTCATAACTGGATACAATTTTCCACTTTCTATTCTAGTACGTACATACAGCGTTATTTTAAAAAAAAAGAACCTACGCTTGGTATTTACAAAACTAAGTCATCTGTCGTTTCGCGGCAGCTGCGACTGGCGGTTCTGTAGATTAGTGTAAGTGACGAGGCAAATTCTCTAATTTAACTGATCTACCGTCTGGAATCATTGACAGAAATATATTTAAACGATGCAAGAGAGAGACGACCAGGAGATACACAATTGTCGATCACGATAATTCATTATCTACGAAAAGTCCAAGGTTTCATTATGGTCCGAAGTTTGCGTTAGCAAGCACTGACACGAAACAGCTAAGATCCAAATAACGAAAACAAACTTGACGCACAAAGCGTCCAAGGTAATTGTTCGAATCTCACGTACCGGCTATCGAGATAACTAGCGCGATATCGACGTCTCGACGCCTCGTATTTCGTCGATTACGGAGTCGTCGGTCGTTGCGTCATCGAAATATGTATTCGACGAGCGCACGAACCCTCTCGTTTTACCACGAAACGATTCAAAAATACTATAAAATACAGGCCACGAACGAACGTTTCTCGCGGCTCGATGTATTCTAACCTCAACCGCGAGACGCTTGTCATCGAGTTTGAGGTTATGTCCGCTCGTATATATCCACGTGGCCGTGGCTCTCGTCACGAATATGGGAAACAGGGGTGACGGGTGCGATCGATTCTGACAGTGATTCACCTTCAGCCCGTCTTTTCTTCCGGCGAAGACCTTCTGAACAACAGCTCGCCCCTCCGTTCGCATTTTCGTATATTCGTCCGTCGACGCTTCACGCTCTCCGCAGCATCGTTTCACGGTAGAAAGGATCACGCACTGTTCGAATCTCGCGTCGCACGCAAATGACACATGAACCACACGTCGCTGAAGCGAGCACGAAATCACGAGCACACGAAATTCCAGCGTTTCGTCGCGGCGCCCTTGTGCCCGCTGCTTCGAGGCGCAGCGATCACGTGACGCGTAGCTAAACACACGCGTTCGCGCGCCGATCGATCGACGCCTCTGCGTCGTCACGCGTCGACCTTTCTCGACACCTTTCGTCTACTCTCGGAAGCAATCGACCTTTCGAGTATTTTTGATCGATTTATGCGAAGCGGCCAGCATAAACGGACGTGACGCAAAAATACGAAATTCAAATAAAGTCAAACTCAGAATCAGTTGTACAAAGTATCGGAATGACTGACAAAATTTCCACGCTGCGACCATCAATTGGTAGGGAAGGATAATAAATTATAGATGATGTAACGCAGCGATTTATTTACTACTCTTGTTCGAGTTTAAATAAGCTTTCAATCGTTCAACGTGAAACATAATTCGAATTTTTATTTATACTATACTTTAACACGTTTCTCACGCGTTAAAATTTAAACAAATATCGGCGTCATTCCTAGATACGGAAAATAGGTTAATATGTTAAGACTAAGTGCCTCGCTCTATCATTATTGTTCAAGCTAGAATAAAGTATTACCTTATCGAAAAATATAATAAAAGAGCAAGACACATTAATTCTTGTTTATCTTTTATATGTTATTTGAACTTGATCTAGACAACCAATTCCTAGTTTGTTTTCCAATTCTCAGTTAATAAAGATAAAAGATACAACAAAATGCGACCTACTTATTACTTTTAAATCGAAGTCAATGGCAAAGGCATTCTATTGGTTGTAAGAGAACAGTGCAGGCAAAGTTTGCAGGCAAGATAATCGACACAGACGTTATATCGATCGTTCGTTCGACCACGTATTGTCACTAATTGCGAAGTTCACGACCACATTCTAAACCTCCTGTGTTTCGAATGCAACGTCGATAGTCGGAATATTTTCGGAATTTCCAGCAAAAATTTCCAATGTAAATGATATCAAAACCCACTGATAAATGTCATCGGACGCACGATGAGCCAGCCGAATCATTCCGCGCAGCCACGAAAGAAACACGCAAAGTGCTCTTCAGCATCGACTCCGGGCCAAAATACCAATCACAAGTACTAATAGTTTTGTACAACCCATCGAATCGATAGACTCTAAGCATCACTTACGCGTGATTTGAATGGCATACCTACGAAATATTAGACTAATTCGAGTCGCGATTCTAAGACCTCTAGGTTATAATTGCACGTTTTTCGTAGACTGAAAAGAGTCTCGTCGACGTCGACTTACATAGTGGGCAACGAGGATGAGCTGGAACGCGCGAAAAGCGCCACGTTGGAAAGCACAAACTTTGATTGGAGGAAAGACGTAAATCGTGTTGGCAAGAGGATTGATAAAACGGTAGTTGCGTCATTATTTCCTTAATTATGCAAGCATGCCAGCCAATTACTATTCCGTCCGTGTCACGAATATCGTTCGCGCTGATACCCTTTATCGAACCAGCTGCACGTAGAAGGTTATTTTGTCAGTTCTCCCTTTAGACTTCCAGCACGACGTTTAGCGGTGGGAGAAAATTTTGGAACCAAAGCAATGCCAAACCGTCGAACATTTTCGTGCCAGACAATTCTATCATCGAGGAAGGTAGATACCCGGTATCGGTAAAAGTAACGTAACGAAAATTTCATCTTTTTACTTTCGACACGGATCATTAGAGAGCGAGCTGATCAACGCGTTGACGAAGCAGCTGTACTTCGTCGAGTCTCAGATGCAGAAGGTGCAGAGCAACCTGAAAAGAAGCGAGGATCAATTGAAGACGAGGGATCAAGAGATCATCCGTCTGAAACGGAAGGTTCGCCGCTGTTTTTGCCCGCCCTCTACCTCTCGATAATGAGTGTCGAATTGACGCAGGTCAAGGACTGGGAAACCAAGAGCCAGAACCAGGAGACCCTGCGGAAGAAGGAGCAGCAACAACGACGAATCCAAACCGACCACTCGGAGTACCTTTACAGACGATGCCTCATGTTGGAGCACAGAATCTATGAGATGGAGGTTGAACGTTTCCTACCTTGAACTATTTGTAGTAGCATACGTGGAAACGAAATATTTAGACGGATTACGATACAGTCGTAACAGCGTTATCGTGACGCGAAATTACCGTGTCCCCGTTTTGCAGAAATTCTTGGCCGATTACGGTCTGATCTGGGTAGGCGATACGAACAGCCCGAAATGCCCTGAAACGGCCTCCAAGTAAATCGAGTATACGCCACTATTTAACCAGGGTGACAATCGATCCGATTAATTACCGATTTACCGATGCATTTCAGTAATTATATCGGGACTTGTTACGAGCAGATTATCGCGAACATCGATCAGCTCAACTTAGCCGCGGGAAAGGGTGAAGTTCACGTGCAGCACAACGAGAAAGGAAACGGGGCAACGTTCAAAGTAAATCGCTGCTCGTTCATCGTGACGTTTCGAATTAGTTTTCGAAGAAATAGGTTATTTCACTCTGGCAGCGTATTCTGCACTTTGAACAGATTGTAATGAACGTATCGAAAGACACGGCGCAAAGAATTATTATGGAAACGAATGAAATATTGTTAAAAAGATTACGAAATGACTTTTGTCGACTATGAGTGTCTACTATCTACAAGGATGAAATATTAGAAAAAAAATGTATAATTTTGTATATTTGCGTGAGTGATAATTTACACTTATCGCGAACAGCACTTAACACAATGTCCAAAAGATTACCCAAGGCGGACAAGAGTAACGCGGAAGTTGCTAGTAAAGAAAATTCTTTTTTCTAATGAAGACTGTCGAGAATAACATCAAGATCGGATTGGTTAAGAGAAGAAAGAACAATCCAATAACATATAATGGATGTTAAACACAAAAAAGATTACATAATGATTGCAAGACCAAGGTGTGGTAACGACACGGTAACAACTATGTGCTGGAGGAGAAAGGAAAAAGAACTATGGAGAGTATGTGAGATTGAGGAAGTGTAACTAAGTACTAGAAAAACGTTTTGGAATAGACATTGCTGCATTAGGAAAGAAGCGTTATGCGGTGTAAATCACAAAACCCACTCTACCAGACAGTTACAATAAGCTATAAAGAACCATAACCAATTCGTACCATGTTGATAAGATTTGTTCGTTACAATCTGTCCTTTACAACTCCTTTACATCATTCACGTTGGTGTTTTATAGAAAATGCGATGAATAGTTTTGTCACACACAAGGGATTTATTCAAAAAAATATTAATATTATTAATAACGAGGAACAGTAAAAAATGCAAACAGAATATAGGATGACCCAACGATACCAACCAAGGTTTAAATGTGTATACTATTTGCAAAATACGTCTGGATTGTAAACGCGAGCATTATTCATGATCACGCATTCCGATCGAACAATGCGGCTCAGCGCGTTCGTGTGCATTCTTTTCTCTTAATTTTATACGACACTAATCGCTGGATGCGTTCCATCGATATTCGTGGTCGCGTAACCGCGGTGTCAGTTTTCGACGGCAATCCTGCGGCCTCAATGCATTTTAATGAAACGCAGAAGGTTGACGTTAATCACTCCCACCGGTTACGTGAGAACAATAACGACGAATATGATTTATGATCGTAAAAGAGTTACGACGTTCTAACGCGCGCCGAGTGGACCGAGATTTATTTTTTTTTTTTCAAACGTTCGTTTCTTCGTCGGCGTTCATGTAACGCCGACGAGATAATCCGAACGTAATTAATTCCGACGGTCTCGTAGAGAGGAGATTAATCGAGTGTTATTTAACAATTGTTCGAAGACCCCTTCTTGCATGTCTTTAAAATTCTACAAAAATGGAATGATAGTTCAAGACGGCATATTGCGCTCTTACGACGATCCAGAGACGGTATCGTTCATTCGTGACATTTTGGACGGTTATTTCCCCTCCGAGTTGCAACAAACCTATCCGAATGGAGTGCCTTTCAAGGTGAAGTACAGATCTCGTAAAAAACTTTGGCTCGAATTATGAAAATTTCAGACTTTTAATTAAAAAAACTGATGAAACGTTCGCGTCGAAACTTATCAGGTAGAAGATCGCAGACACCAAATGTACATGGACGGTGTCGTGGACTTTCCCGGTCAAGGTTATCGGCTGGGAAAGCAGCCACCAGCTGATAACGCGCTGTTATCGAGCAGAATTCGTAGGCCAGGCACCGTGTCCCAGAAGTCGAGTCGTCGCCCTCCGCTTTCGAAAGATAATCTATCCAACAGCGATTTTTCCACGTCGTTAGCGGCTTCGACAGCTAGGTATAGTAGATATAGAATGTACAGGGTGTCTCAAGCAATTGGGTCGCTAACCGTTTTTCCATTTACATAATTTAAGACTTTCTATATACAGAGTAAAGCAACGCATCGATTACTGTATAAAAAAGAAAGAATGTATAGTTCCATTTAAAGAAATAGAAACGATCTTGAAATCGATGAAACGGCTCCACTTATGGAGATGACACACGCGACACGCAATGCAATCATTTAATTTTTCTTAATGCAGTGTTGTTCTATTTTTCGCTATGTTTCGACCTTCTTGCACGCTCTTTCCGTGCAAATGCTTATCGACGTAATTTTTCAAGGGTTAAATGCTTGCCAACAGGTCGTTAAAATCGAAAAGCCCGTCGGTAGATACGCCACCGATCGAGATGTACATTCTGCGTTCTCAGATTCTGGCGTCGCATAATAACATTTGTTCGGACACGCATCTGCAATCGCACATTAACGCCGAATTGGGTATAAGTAACCGAAAAGAGAAGGTAAATATCAATGAATCATTGTTCAATATGTCCAAAAATATGTATATGGAAACATTCTGTTTTATTTTGCAAACTAAAAAGGATATATTTACGCGACAAAAGGAATAGTTCTTTAAACTTTCGTTCGACACATCATTGCATGACGAACAGAAATGTAGAAACAATGAAACCATTCTATGATTCATGCGGTGCAAATTACATAAATTATACCGTATTGGCGACGTCCAGTAAAATAACAAGTAAAGTTCGCGTCACGTTAGAATTTACATTTACTGCGTGAGCGCATACTTGACGGTTGATCGAGCATTTGGAGGATTGGAATAAATGTTGAGGAAAAACGAACAAATTCTTTCAATCGAAAGGTTATCATGTAATATTTGAAAATACTGCAAAAATCTAACAAACACCATTTAAGACTGACTCTAACGAACCGAAACCTCTTGGACGTAATTTCTGAATAAGAATTTTCTACGGGTAAAAAGATATTCACTTCGAATTGATCTTTACAAGCGAGATCTGGCAACGAAGAATGCAGACTTTGATGTTTCCGGTCGAGAAGGACAATTGAAATCCAGGGGTCTGTTAAGGTTTCCAAGTTCTGGAAGGTGTTACCACGGTTCCACCGATAGATCGTCGTCTAAACCACCGTCCACGTAAAATACTCTTCTAATATTTTGTTAATTGCTTTGATCGATATCTTTTCATCTCATTTTTGTTTCCAGTCGATCGGAAATCGTTGAAGATCATGCTCGACAACGGACGAGATCGGCCAGCTTACCAAGCTCTCGCATGTCCATTAATTCGAAGCCCATAACCAGGGTTAAGGCGGCCATGGATTTTGGTAAACTCGATCCCACGCGGTTCTCGAATTTGCAAACGACAAATAGCGCGGTCAAGCGAACTCCGCGCGTCGCGAAATCCGCGACACCGGTTAAGAAAAGTGCAGTAAGGGAACCTTTTTAAAAATTTTAGTCATCGAATTCTGACAAATTTCGTACGATTTGTGAAATCGATTCGCGTGGACAATTTTTTAAATATATTTCGTGCGTTTCAGCCGCCAATTCTGCATCAGATCAACGAGCCATCGGGAAGACCAGGTGAACTGCGACTGAAGGTCAGGTCAGTTAACGGTGGTACCGTTTACCTGGTGCACGTGTCAGCCGACGAACCGATAGCTCGACTTTACCAACTGCTAGACAAAGCGATGGCGCGAACGGTGCCACGAGGATACAAAATCATTCTCAGCGGGTAAGACTACATCGACCAAAATCTGCATTTCCACAAGTTGCACAACTAGATTTCCCATTCGCAGAGCAATCGTTTCGAATTTCAGTTACTCGCCGAGGAGATTGGATCAACTGGCAGCCACTTTAAGAGAAATCGGTATTACCAGAGACAGCGTTCTACATTTAGTGAACGACTGAACGCTGCAGAACGGAAAACTTTTAATCGTAGCAAACTGTGACAGATTTTTGTGTATATATTACTGTAGAAAAATTACAAACGTTTGTGGAAAATATATTGAATTAAGTAATTGAAGGCGTTTGTCTGGGGCTTTAGGGCCACCTTACCGTGTGAGTTGACTATGAAAAGGATTGAAATTCGTTTCTAAATCTGTTGGTAACGTTGCGAGTGACATACATTGGGTGAAAGATCTACACGTATACCTCATTTCTGACAATAATCTAGAATCTTTGATGAATCAATGAGAATCAAAACTAACCTAGCAAAGAAGTTCTATATTTATGATGATCTATGCAAAGCGGATCGCAGCCAATTTGCTAATATTATTCAGTTTTTAATTAATAATTGCATTACCTAGCTAAGAGTGATACGATTATTAATTAAACCCTAAATAATATTACCCAGGTCTCACCACGTGGAGGTTGCTGCGAATGGAGACCCGCCCTAACCGATTCCCAACCACCCTCCATTATTAAAGATCTTTTGTGATTAGCGATCACTGATCGAAGAAGCAATAAACGAAAGTGCAACCAACGAAGGAAACAACCAACGAAAGAGTTTTTTGAAAAAGAATTTGCCTAACTATAAATCTAAATTCGTTTACATCCTACCTATCTAATCATCTAACAAAATACATAGAAAATATATTCTTCGAAGATTTCCTGAAACGTACTATTACATTCTACCTAACTATAAATCTAAATTATTAAAACATAAACTAAGCAATCTGAAACAAAATACATGAAATACATTCTTCTTTCTTCTTTCTTCTATTTATCCCACGATGATTTCCTGAAACACAAATGAAGCAATATCAATGAAAATTGTAACAATTCTTAACTATTACTTCTATAAACCTAACACTTCCGTAGGAATTTGCTCTGTAACAGAAACGTGTTTAATAGATTAGTAAGAGAACAAACAAAACAAAACAAGTAAAACTACAAATACTACAACTACAGGCAAGTGCAGTGAGAAAGTAAAAATAGTACATAATATACGAGGTTACTTTGACTCTAAAATGTATTCGTCGCGAAATATCTTCTTGCACGTCAATTTAATGATATATTTTAATAAGTAAAGAAAGACTTTGGGTATCCTCGACATCGAAGATACCCAATGTCGTCAACTGAATTATGAAAGTGAATTTAATTATTGAAGAATGTAAAGAACAATCGGAAGCTACTAATTTGACACTCATTCTAAAATTAATATAATTATAAGTATTATAAAAGATATTAAAATCATGACTCTACTTTCGATTGATATTACGATATTTGTCATATTAAAAATTGCGGCGTGTAAAAACATCGCACGCTTAAATAAAACGCGACGCGACACGTGCTCATAAGCGTGCAGTGAGTGTGGGTATCAGATTGATCCCCCCCGGCCTTGATTATCAGAAAAGCAAGTCGCGCCCCTGACCCACGTCGATCGGACCTCTCTACGTACAACCGCCGGGTCCTGGAGGACACAAGATCACAACAGGACCCGCTTAGTACTCGAGAACGGATATGGGTCAGGGACTCTCGCCGGAGGTCATTCTCTTTTCCGTATAAAGAGGAGAATATATGCGCTCGGCGAGGCCCCACTTAAGCTGAACCAAGCTGCACCAGGGTTGAAGCGGTAAGAGCTATCACACCTAATACACAGGCGTCACATGTTTCATTCTATCAAACAGAGGTGATCGAGCAAAACTCTCCGATCCTTTCGGTCGAGACATAATCTCGGAAAGCGAGAACCAGAGAACAAGCGAACGAGAGAAAGTGATACTACTCATATATGTTGTATGTACTCATTATATATTCATTTTAAAATGAGTGTCAAATTAAAAATGAATCTACTTTGACATTTGTCATTTTAAAAATCGCGGTGTGCAAGAAGATTATAATTTTAAGCAAAATGTACTAACTACACTTGCCAAAGAAAGCACGTATACAACCAGTTGTTTTACCCCTTTGCCTTACGATTTAATTTCCAACTGTGCCATAAGCGCCACCAAGGTTTGGTCCGGTAGACTTATCACCTCTCTGAGTCGTCTTGTTCATGTTTGGCCCGATAGACTCATCACGTTTCTGAAACATCATTAAGCTAAGGGGTTAAAAAGGAGGTTTTTAAACACTTAAAAATGACCTATCAACCTATCACCTAGCTTAAAAATAAAAATTCATGATATTGTATAGAAACAAATATAGTATATGATCGAAAACAATGTTACATTAATATATCCTGCAATATTATACATATCGAAGCAATCACATAAATTCGAAGAACAATGTAAAAGTGGAAACCGAGAAAAGGAACATTCATAGTAACCAAATAAAATCAGATAGATAAATGAAGTTGAATTCACATCAAACAAACAAATAAAAATAATAAAATATAAATAAATGGAGTGGACTTACTACTTGTTGTCAGTACATAGGGTAGTTACCACTGGGTCAGCTGTAAAGTAAGAAAATATTCATATTATAGCAACGTCAGTTAGGCAAGCAAGGCAAAATCAGTTCATTGAAGCGAAATTGGTATCAAACGATAGAATAAAGGAGGGGAGAGAATTTTTAAACAGTTCTTACCGTAGTCATCACCGTCCGGCACTGGTCAGTAGTGGTCAGCAGTGGTCAGTAGTGGTCAGTAGTGGTAGGAGCACTAGTCACAACTGGTCAGTAGTGGTCAGTATTGGTCAGTATTGGTCAGCCTTGGTCAGCCTTGGTCAGCGCTGGCCAGTAGTGGTCAGCAGCGGCCATCAGCGGTCATCAGCGGTCCCCGGTTCACTTCTGGCTATTTGCCCACTCCCGAATCCGCGACGCGACTGAAGAATTCTTCGCAGAGACCCTGCCATATATGATTAAGGTGATGAAAGGGTGGGGAGACCAGTCAGAGCCAAGGTTGAAGTTAACGGGTAAGACTGTCTTGTCTACCAAGAAACTATTTCGATTGGTCCCACCTCTTCACCATTTCTGGATCTTCACTGAACTGCTAACCTTGATGTCAACCTCACTGTTGACCAGCAGTGACCATAAGCTGGTCATCGTTGATCATCGACCCATTAAAACCATTACGAAGATTAAAGCCTTCTTACGAGGACCCCCTTACAATTTGATGCATGATCTTTTTAACATTTTATTCCACTTTGGAAGAGTGTATCTCATGTTATACGACACTCATGGTACAAATTGATCGCCACACAGTTGACCGCCATTCACGAAAAGAGAACGCTAGAATCACCTCTCAATTTTTAGGACGGTATGACAGTAAATTTGAGCCACGAGAGTTCATAAAGTGTAAGTTCAGTGTTATCAGACCACACACCAGGGCGAAGAAGGTATGTGGAACTATAAGAAGAACGCAGCCATTAGCTCATATTATTTGCTATGTAATTAATAATTATATTAATTACATAGTAAATAATAATCTCCAGGTCTCACCGCGTGGAGGTTGCTGCGAATGGAGACCCACCCTAGCCTCGCCCCAACCACCCTTCCTTTGGCGAGGAATTCGAATACCTATCTAATGGAGAAGCTATCGAAAAGTTAGAAACGAGCTACGAAAGGAGAGTTCTTAAAAGAACTGCCCAATCAAGAGACGAAGAACCTAACTAAATGTCAATACATGTGAGATGATACACATGTTTTCTAAAAACGAAATTGAAATGTGCAACTGCACCTACGAACTCCGATGAAGAGATCGAAAACCTAACAAAATGTTGATACATGTGAGACAATCCAGCACATGTTTTCTAGAAACGAAATTGGAATGTGCGACTGCACGTACGAATCCTGATTACTAAAGTACCAATATGTACTTTATTATTAATTGTTCCTTCTTAAATAACAAGATACTCGTACAAAACGAAGAAAGGATCCTGAAGATCCAACCAGAAATGTGCAACTGCACACGTACGGACCTTGCATATTAGAATACTAATATGTATCTTAATATTAATCATTCCCACTAAAATTTACGCACACGTTTCGGTAATATTTAATAAACGGCAGGAGAACGCTTTTTTATCTTATAATCTATATACATTTGTACTTATATTCCAACGCAATCTGTAGAAACATGAAGAAATACGAGGAAATATTTTCTTCTTGGTATCTTCATCAATCCCACGATGTTTTTCTAAAACATACACTCATATACAATAAATATAACCGATATAAAACGAAGATATGACAAGATATTTTCTTCTTGGTGTCTTCGACAATCCCACGATGTTGTCCTGAAACAAAAACTCATATCCAATAAATATAACTCATATAAAACAAAGAAATATGAAAAGATACTTTCTTCTTGATGTCTTGGTTAATCCCACGATGTTTCCCTGAAACATAAATCAGACAATAAATAAAATTGTATGAAATATTTCTCTAAGAGCGATCAAGATGGAATCCGTGAACAATTTCCAATTCCATTCTTCGATGATTATTATATCCTGTAACAAGAACTTGTTCAAAGAATTAATAGCTGAAATAAAAGTGTATTAATGGACACAGAAAAAAATAATTATGTACCGTCACGATAGACTCATGGTAAGCAATCATAGTAAAAGTGATGTTATGAAATTAATATTTTAACTAAAGCTCCCACGAGTAAAAATTGATATTAAAAGTTTAAAAACATAAATAATACGTGAAATTGAATGAAAAATTAAATTCGTCCCAGTGTTAAGATAAATAAGAAATAGATTGAAAATTTGTTAGCGTAGATTTTATTTTTCAAGAAAAATATATTCAAGACGTACACATTGCAATAATTATATTTTACTGTATTGAAAACTAAATTACGTTCATACAGAAAAAAGCAATAACGAACGAAAATGTCGATTCTGCGCGGAAATTAATTCTCAATATGAAAAATCGAATTGCAATTTGCATATCCTTTTGATGCAAGCATTCTATTTTCCATCGATTAAAACAATGATCGCGAATAAACTTTGATTTATGCAAAGAATACA